ATTCGTATATGTGCACATTGTGTTGCCACTTCAGTTGGGGCTTTTCCTCCTTATGCATGTTAATTGTTAATCATATCAATTAGAGCCGATGACCGGCAGTTGTTGATCTGTGTGCTCTTTCGGCCGTCACGTCATTGGGATGCTTTTTTTCTCATATCTTAATCATCATGCCATCGTTGGATGACACAACTTATTTTATAATATCGGCCAGTAGTGCCGTACAACGTTTTTAGTTCTTGGTGGTGACCAAAACAGTCTATTGTTATTCACTGTTTACTGGATAAATTTTTTTTTTTTGTAGTAATAGCTGTTGGTTAGGCTTATTTTTAGTAGGCAACAATTGTTTTTATCTACATTCTACAGCTATTGACACTAAACAAATAGGTAGGATAGCTAGAGTATTTTTTTTTGGAGGTAACATAAATGGTTCCTTGAAATACCAAAAGGAAATGAGACGGATTAAAAAAAAATACTTACATTGAAAAGTAAACCTTTTATTATTTAAAACTCTTATGTTTACAATCCATTATGTTTATCATACATTATGTTTACAATCAATTTTATATAAATAAAGACAGAGGAGATAGGTAGGTTTATATCTGAAGTGAATAAAGAAACGACGGAGGAAAGAGATTTCAGGAGAGAAAGGTGGATCTACCCGACCCGTTTGTTGTATGAGTATAAATGAGAAGATTTACATTATTAATGTCTAAATATATTAGTATTCATTAATCATGAAATGTTAGAAATGCATACGATTATGTTTTGAGTAAAAAAAATTGAGTTTCGATTCCTTACTGCGATTTTTAGTAGAAAGTTGTATACCATTCTATACCATATTATCAAAGTAGATTTGCGACTTGTTTTGAATTTCAAGAACCAATTTATTTAATTACCTCAACTCGGGGGCTCTTACCATCGTATGGATTGTAGGGATTTCCTACTGTGTTTATTTTAGCGTTCGGAGTATTATTTTTCAATTGAGGAAACTTGTTATGTAGGTATCTAACGCGTGACCGAGTTGCGGGATAGAGTTTTATGTAAATTTTTTTTGTGAACACGACCACAAAAAGTTTGATCCGTGCAAAAGTTTTTCTGTAATAATAATACTCTATACAGTTGCTGTTCGGTCGACTTTCGTCATCGGCCACTTTCGCAACTGCACAACAATATGATAGAGCTAACAAACGATAGCAGTCATTATGTAAATTGTAATGATATATTGACCACGTTCAATTGTTGTTGGCTTAGTACAGTAAATTGGCGGTTTGTCGCACAGCGCGTTTAATGAGAAAATATTGATGATAATTACTAATGCCCACAGCCTTGCCGTCGCCAACCGACTCCGGGTCGTTTTTAATTACAATAACCGTGTTTCTTGGGTTAACAACTTGACCGCTTTCTTATAATTTTCTTATAATTTCTCATCGTTTACATAGCCAGCCAGTCTTTTTGATCGTAAGATTACACACAGCAATTCCTCGGAGTTTCCTGATAAACAATAAATGATTGGAAGTCGCCTATTGTTTGGCAATTTTTCAATTACATCTATATGACATTCCACGCACTCCGTGTGCTCGCATCTTAATAATAATAATAATAACTGTTAACAAACAGGCCGTACGTACCTTGTGTATGACCTCGGATAGTTAGAATCGACGACCACGCCTTACAGAGAATCTTTTTCTCTGTGCAGTTCATTTGCCCCCCTATCCTTAATGCCCAAGTTGTACTTTTGCTCAATTGAAGAATAGATCACGACATAATAGTGCATTTTGTTCGACCGCACTTTTTTCGACCTATTTGTTAGCAGTCACGTCGCACGTTCAATAATATATTACCTTGCGAGTTCTCTGTAGGGGTTTCACGGTAAAGACGTATTTTGGTTTTGTCAAAACGACTAAGTCGTTTGGTAATGCGCAATGTTTGTTGGTTTCTTCAGTATGAGAACAATATTGAAATCGCTTTTGCTTTGTCCTGCGGAAAAACAATGTGGCAAACGTGTTGACTACAATACCGCGTGTGTTAACCGACGTTAAATTTGTTTGATTCTGCGCTAATTGTCTTGTCAGCATAATAATTAATAACCGACCACGGTCGCGCGTGGAATATTCATAACCAGGCTTGCGACTTTTTTGCAATACTACTATAATAGTAATGTTATTCTTTTAGAATTTGCCTATGTACAACGCTACAGTGCCCGCCATTATTATGTGGCGTTTAAGTATTCTTGTAGTGCACTATAGCAGTACTCGATGTTCGAGAGATTTAAAAATTAATAATCGTGTTAATTACAAACACTATCATTAAAATAACTTTTTACACAAATAATTAAGTATTCTGTATTATTTTGTGGTACCCAAATGAGGGGAGGATAGCCCAGAATATACCCCCCCCCCCCATATTTCTCTCGGTTGTGCCTAAACAATCGTATTTCGATCACGGGCACGGATTTTGCTTGGATATAGATTTTGCTGATACTCAAGAGGTAAAATTATTATTAGCTCACAATGGGAGATCGACCGTGGCGGATGAAAGTCGGGCACGGTGGTGCCACTTTCATTTTCTTAGACAGCTATATCGATTGGCCCCGAGGGTTAGGCATGCGTTATCCTCCTTCCTTTCCCGCCCCCCTGTGTACAGCAAGGGTTTCCCAAACACTGTCAATCGATCGAGAAGTTTGAGTCGTTAAGCTCCATTCCTTATCATAAATTAATTCGGACATCTGTCTGGAAACGTTACATGTCGGCGCGACAGTTGTGCCTGTTGGCGGCTAAAAAAAGCTCCCTTAACGACTATACTTACAGTAGGCACCATCCAAATGGGTTTCTCTATTTAATTACTCGGCGCCGCACGCGAGTCGGTTGTTGCGACTGTTTGCGTGCAAGATTTAATTAATAAAAATACATTTAATACCTGTGTTTAATTAATCGATTTCATTCGATGTCAATGTTTTTTTTTTTAAAGTAACTTTTATCATATTAGGAAATTTCATATTGGAAAATTCAAAGTTAACAGATGCACGTTAAGCCTCTAAGGTGGTTAACACTAACCATAATGAACATATTATTATATCGTAAAATAGTATGAAAACTATTATTTTCTATTTTTTTTTCAAGCACTTAACCGTGTTGGCTCGGTTTTGATTTGTCAGTGATAAATTGTTTTGCGAGCTAGCTCCGGAAGGGCCGCACCCCTATTACGTCGCGTGTACACTGTAGTCTGCACCATATATATTTTTTTTAGATATAATATTGTAATATAAAATATTGTTTACCACACGTCACGTTTAATTTGTTATGTGTTGTATTATACTGCTGATGTAGATTTTTTTGTTAGATTAAAAATAATAATAATCATAATGGCTTGCTCGTAACAAATCTGCGTTTGTACTATTTACGAATTACAACATAATATTTTCGAAACACTTTAGGCGGATACTATATTATTATGAGTTTGCAAAAAACCCAGTGGGGATTTTATGTTGTTGAAGTCCATTAGGTAAATATTAAGGATTTACCGGGAAATATGAATTGTATTGGGTTTATGCACGATAAAAAAGTATTTGGGTCCAAAATTATTTTACAAAACTCTCCACGTTAATTAATTTTCGCCAAAAAATGTCGTTCGTCCTTTTCGACTTGGTGTATAGATTTTGACATGATTTTTATAGATGGTGGTATAACGGTTAGGTTTAATGTTTATTGCAATCGAGTTTGCGGTCTATTAATCTGCGCGGTTCTACAGATATAGAGAGAGACAATGGGTCGGTTTATCGTTAATGATTTTCTGAAGTCTTACAATGCTTCCGGTTTGTATGTTTCATATTATATCTAACAACCAAACGTTTGCCTCTGCTATGTATTGTTATTTATGACGGGCTGGCCGGTCACATTATACAGTGTTTCTAATAGGCCGTGGAATACTCGTTGTGGGATAATTAGATTGGCAGAAAAATAGAATCTACCGGCCGTGGTAAACGGCGGTATTGTTCTTTTGGGAGAGTCGAACGACGAGAAGTGATTGGATAGTTTTCCACACTTGGCCGACCGGAAATCTATATACCGAACCGGCGGGTCAAGCCCGACAAAAATATTGTTTCCAAATGTAGCTGTGGTATATTATTACGTGTAGGTATTATACATAATACCGGTGGACATCAAGTGTAACCACGGTAGCGGCGACCGCGTGTGCCTTATGTCCGTGTGATATACGGTTAGATATGATTCACGACTACTCTATACAGGAACACAACAAATGACTCGTCACGGATCGTTTGTCCGCGTTAGTTGTTGTCGTATGTGCGTGTCGTTTTGCCCGAACCGCGTGTTAAAAGTCCTTAAGTACGGTCCACAAACTATATAATATAATAGTACCTACTCGGGGGGGGGGGGGGAATAACAAAAAATGCTGTCCGATCGTTGCTTCGTCTCGACAGAGCGGATACGGGTAATTTTCACCATAGGCGTTGGCGGTTTTTTCTTTTTGTTGCTAAAATCTATTTTTATATTTAGTAAAATATCGTCAGAAACGTTGCTTAGATATTTTAGAAATTGTGTTTAGGTGATAATTGTATTATATTCTTGTTATAAATATGGTTCAAGAGAGGCAGGAAGAGGCTGTGTCCAGTCACTTGAACAACCCGCTTTAACTCTCTTCGCTAGGACTAATAAAATGTGTCTAATAAAATGTATTACCTACAAATTATAATTAGCACCATCGTGTTATAAGAGTAGTAGAGTTTTTATATTATGCAACATTATTATTTTTTATGAAATTGTTCAATATATCGTTTATTTGTTCAAAAAAAACCAAACAACAGTTTTGCAATGGGAATATGAAACCGAGTTACGGAACATCTCGTTTTTCAAAGATTTATAACTTAATTTTCAAACGGTTTTGCCTTACGATCGTATCTTAATTAGAAGCGCTCAGAATTTATTACAGTTATAAACGTCGAATATTATTTTTTAATGTTTTTTTATTTTTATTTGTTACAGATCTACAGTTTGATCGAACGTAATCAAATAGCCAACTCGACGATGCACCTGAGAGGCGTTACAGTGTTCGCTCCTACTAACGCGGCGTTTGTGTCCAAACAAGAAGACGACGACGAATACCTACCGTGTTATCACATAAGTAAGCAATGTGATGATTAGATATTTTTAAAAATATTGTTATAATAATAAAATAACGATCGTTCGATGCATCGCTACGATTACACAACACAGCCCGGGGCCACGAGGGGTCAATAGTTTTGTACGGGTAAAACGGGAGGTGTATATACGCTTAATAATAGTAATTATAACTGTGGGCAGTATATATAATGTATGTTCGATGTAAATTGGATCTTTTAAACGGGTTTCCAAGTCGAAAGCGACTACCTAGAAGAAGAAAGAGTAATATAGTAGTATGCCTGACACGTTGAAAATGTAACGTTTCGATGGCTTTTTACTAACTACCCGTGACACCCCGGAGTCTGTACTAAAATAATAGCCTTAAATGTATTTCGTACATTTTTAAAGCTAAGAATAATCTGCTGATAGTTTTTAACGGCAGATTAAGAAAAGTCACACCGTGTGTCGTAATTTTAGGCAGGAAAATATTAAAATTGAGTCTACGCTCAAAAATAAAACTAAATAATAACATAATTTAGATAGCCGCATTCAGAAACTGTAAAAGAAAAAATGGTGGTGGCTAATGGAAAGAAAAATAATGTACTTAGTGTAGTATTTTAACAATGGCGGTGACCGAGGGTCGTTGCCGCGAAAGAGGAAAAGGTAATGTGTTTGTGTGTGTGTTTGTGTAGGGAAGTTCCGGTGCATTGACTTACGGGAGTGTCACGGGGTTTTGAGCCAAGTAACGAGGGCTCGGACTCGAGTTCGGTCAAGGTGGTCTTGATGGAAACGCATTTGTCCGTTAAAACCACACCCGGGTATCGTTTCACCCAATAAGTATAAGCGCAAACTGGATAGAGCTATGCTTTTTTTTTCATCGAATTTTATGCTGTCGACTTATCCAATTGTGACATTACGGTTGTACGGTAAGAAGTTTGATATGGAGAAATCAGTTGATAGGAGTTAACACAAGTGATAACAATGATGTTTGATAAGAAGGTGTACAACCTATTTTAACTACAAGAAATACTAGTACAATTTTGCTGACATACTGGAGCTGACCGGGCTATTAATCATAATATTCTCTGGACAAAAATCAAAATTTACCTTCGATCTAACTAATAAAGCGGTATGGCACGGGCGTTGTTTACCCTCATAGTGGTGGGCCCATATCGCCGTGTATGTAAATGCCAAATCATGACATTTAAAACGGCTAGCTACCTGACAAGCAATGGCCGTACTTGTTTCGTGTTGGTTGCCTTCTTCGCCGGTTCAAGCGACCACTCTAAACAACGTATTTACATAATAGTAATTATGACGTTGTTATTTTAATATATTGTCGACGGCCATTGTTTGATTTTTACTTCTTCTTACATGCAAAACAATATTGCGACGGGTCTTTGGCGCGTTCACATATCCATCGTATAATGTATTCCACGTGCAACGTCATTTGTCTCCTCTCACGTAAAACAACAGCAACAATTCAGAGCTGTGCTGTGCCTAGTTTTTTTTTGTATTCTCCGGGTCCTCAGCATTATATTACATTATCGTTATGGCACAATAATTATTTTTTTTGTCGCATTCACCTCCTCTTCTGTTCTCGGCCACGACTTCACCCGCAGCCGCCACACGTCTATCTCTCTCTCGCTCCAGTGTTTGTGCGTTTGAATGCGTTTCGGTATTTTCTCATTTGACACGGTGCGTGCGACGCTTGTTTTCAAAATTTTTTTTTATATTATATTTATTAAGAATATCTCCAAAGCACACACACACACACACATACCTCGGTCCGATGGCGATGGTTTTTTTTTTTTTTATTATAAGGTGGCAGAATTCCTCCTCTGTATGTACTTGGCGGGCGATTATTATTATGTTTTCTTCACATATTCACCGAATATTATATTTCGTATCACGACGTCGTATACGCGTACAATAAAATAATAATAATAATAGCTGGTTCAGAAGAAGAAAAAAAACGGGACAAAAGATCAGATAGACTGTGACTAGGCGGAATCTATATAGGTACGCTTAGAATGTATATCAAATCTAAAGCGGTCGGTGTATTTAATATGTCACTATAGATTGTATGACCTCGGCCACCATATGTATACACAGCTGTACTTGCATATCCACATGTTGTACCTGTAACCGGGTAAAAAAAAAAAGAAATAATATTCCACGAGGAAAAGCCGCTGGTGCATTCCTCCGGAGAGTTTCCAAACTGTCAGCGCACACAAAAAGTTCTTTATACTTGATCGAATCACCGAATTCCCATGAAAAACAGCGTTAAAAAAAATACTACCATCAAGTTTTTAACAAGTCATCGGGGGCTTAATTAAATGTAAACATATAAAGAGAAGGGGGGGGGGCGAATAGCCTAAATGTGCAAGGCAAAGCGCGTCCCCGTTTTGCTTAAAATCAATAAAACCCAGTTCGCAAATGGTTGGTATTTAATAATTAACTGAAAAAATTTAACTGGGTCGCGCTTGGTTTTTTTTCTTAGAAAACCCGGTTTGTTGTGATAATATATTATGTTAGATGAGTTGTGTATAAGAGCTGCTGCGGAGCAAATGGTGAGATAGATAAAAAGCTATTTATGCGAAAAAGTAATGATGTACTTACTACTTATTACTATTAAATCGCAAATTTCGACATTGACTCTTTCGCCCAAACATCACAGAATTATGGGTTTAAAAAACCACCGTGATAAATTAATAAATCTGTGTAAACAATATTTTTACGATAAACATTTTTTAACGCTTATGATTAAAAAACAAAAAGCCGTTCCTAACGGCGGGGGCACCTGAGCTTTCGTTTGTTTGGCGCATACATACATACATTCGTTCAAAGCAAGTGCGTATTTTCGAGCATAAAAACAAACGCGAATATTGTACACTGTCTGAAAAGAGTTTATTTCAAGCACCGTCTCGCAGCATTCAAACGATAGAACTTTTTAACGACTACGGTTATGGGTTTTTAAGCGTTCGCTTTTGTAGCGCGCGCAAACTTTTTCTTCGTCGCCCACAGAATTGTTTTGACGGCGTGACGTTTATAAGTTTGCCCCAATTCTCTTGAATACTTGTTTGACGTTTTGCTCCAAAAAAACTTCTTCAAACGCGGTGTACATAATATCTGATTATCTTTTACAGCGAACGTGCCTTTGAAGTTGGAAGACATGGGAAGATCGGTGTCCTCCGAGCTGGACGGCAATCCGCCCATTTGGGTGACGAAAAAAGGACCAGAAGAGATTTACGTTAACCAAGCCAAAGTGGTGTACCATTTGGCCAACTACGTGCACAACAACACCCTCGGAAAACCTCAAGTAAAAATCGAAATTCCTAATTTTCGTATACATACATTTTAACGATGAGTGAACTTATTATGTGAAACGTTTTTTCCCCCTTCAGGTCTTGCACGTTATCGACCAAGTGCTGCAACCGCTGAGAATGAGAAAGAACAGCGGCGCAACCGTGTACAACCCAAACGCGTGGAAACTGATGGATGTGGCCGAAAACTTAGACTTGAACGGTTACCATACCAAGTGAGCACATACCAAGTCAATACATACAATTAGTTAACCCTCGCAGCACAACAGTAATGATAACACTGGTTAATACAAAATCGAATATTAGTCTTTCGCGCACACCGCCAAATCTACGTTTTGGCGGTTTTTAATGTAACTTTATCGCCAGGATGGCCTCACTGTGATAATTTCCAGCAGCATTAATTTAATCGTAATTTCCTATAAAATTATTATCTGTTCAGGTTATTATTAAAAAAAAAAAAAAAAGAGTGTTTTGTTACTGTAGTTGGCGGTGTTGCTGCTTTACTGACGGCAATTTAGTATAAGTAATTACTTAATAGGTTTCATCGCGTTAATATGTCTTCCGGTACGATTCGTTTTGCGTAGGATCCGCGTTTGTTTTCCGTTAATTATGCGGTCACGGCGTTTGACATCGTTTGACCTTTTGTTTGTCACGAAATGTCGAAAATATTATCCAAAACGTGTCATTTGAATTACGTTTATTACCATTATATAGTAGCTTTGCATAGACGGGCGTTTCCTGTATAATAAAACCCTGTCCTCTACCCAGGTCCGAGTCCAGGTTTCCTTTTGTGTGTAGTCTATTTTGTTAATTGTGTTTAATCGTTTACGCTTCACTATTTTTACACCCACTCGGAGAGACGCTGCATTCTTAATTAGGTGTACCTCCTCGTCGAAGAATATTATTCTCTAGGCGGACAACATACCACCACGCTTGCACATCCTGTTAATCGAATGGACCGTTGAGTAGTAGTAGTAGTAGTAGTAGTAGGTGGGCACTAGTGTATAAAAAAAACAAGAACAAAACAAAACATAAGTCATGCTTTTAGAAACAAAAATTTGTCTAAGGAGATAAACTTTTCGCGGTCTCGCGTAAATATATTAAGACCTTATCTAAATTTTGACATAAGCGATTTTTAAAGAAAATGTAAACCAAGACTAATCCTATCTAAGTTTTCTAGTAAAACTGGCATTACATAAATAGCGAACGACTGTTTTTTTTTTTAAGAAAACGTTATTAATGAACGCTACTTGATAGCCTGACAACATTACTACCATCAATAGAAAATCCTCGATACTGATATTTAAATATAGGTACAATATAACTTATGCTATGCAGCGTGTCCTTGCTAAAAAATAATACCACAGCAAACGCTTTCGTTCGTGGCCATTTTTTTTTTACACTTAACATAGTTTTTATTTTTATAAAATTGTGTGTATTAGTCGTGAGGTAAATTTTGTGGCGTTTACTGATTGAATAAAATTGTGTTTCAGCTCTTTCCGGTACCGAGTTTTGAGCTTAAACAAATCGTCCGTGTTCGGAATGCAAGGAGGCCACACGTTCTTCATTCCCGTCGATGAAGTGAACAACGTAAGTACATTAAAAAAAAACATACTTAATTAGTTAAATTGTTCGTTTCCTGTCGATGCAGAATTTCTCGGCGGCACAATAGAGGATGTCGTCGCGTCGTCGGCGGCTAACTAAAACCATAACCGATGTTATTACTTATTACTTATTAGCGTAGGCCGAAAAGCTTTAACAGCCTACCTGTTTCTTTTACGTTTCGTAGACGACTTATTAAAATAGATTAAGGCAAAAAAGGGACACAAACGGTGTATTTGGTATACACACATTGTGTATAAACATATAATTTAGGTTAAAAACGTTGACGTAGATAATGGTTTTTTTTTTTTTTTTTAAGAGGGTTAATTCACGTTAACGTTTTATGCTTGACATTCCGAGTTGATTAGACACTGGTGTTTGTTTTATATCGTAGGACGGTTGTAAACAAACGGGGTATATTTTTTCTTGTACAGAAAAAAAAATCTAATTAAACAACCTTTAACTTACGCTTTATAAGATCTAAATAAAAAAAAAAAAAACCAAACCCCTTACTGTTAATTAATTGTAATATTATTATTACTATAATATTTTATTTTTTTTTTTTTTTAATGTATTCCGCGCTGTTCGTCACAACACATCGGTCATTATGTAAGATGGTTAAGACGGCGTTATTTGTTTACTTTCAAAATTTCATTTAAGCTGTATCTCTCTTCTGAGCGATGCTCTTGCGGGTATTACGATAACGACGTCGTACCAAAACAATGGGCTTTTGGAAAGTCGCGTGTAGTGTTGTGTGCTATCTAAAACGGGCGCGCGCATAGGCTTTCACCCGCGCATTGTTGTAAACCGTGTAATGAACGGATAATGTATGTATTATTTTATACCATGCTCTCTGTGATTACGCGCGTTACAACATTCAATGTCACGATGGTACACAAGCCAAGCGTGTTCTTTGTGCTTACCTACACCGGTACGTGACCGATATTATGTTATTTGGTATTAGAAAATACCGAATTACGATCACTAATATTCCAAAAGACAAATCATACACCTTTGTCCGAAGATGTACCGTCGACTGCACGCGCGGCCGAATGATAAACAACAATAATAACGGTGATAATGATGATGATTATGTTTTCACCGAATAATTTATCTGCGGTCGGACACCACAACTCGTCCGCAAACCTCGAACACACCCATCCTGTAGTCCACGTCACGCGGTCGGATAAATGAGAGTGCACAACTGTTAGGGGTTAGCCGTACACCCGCCTCGCAATTATTTATCATACTGTTCGCGAATTTATTCCTTTTTTTGCCTTTACTTTAAGCAGCTGAGCCGTTTTCGTTGTGTTTTTTCTTTCATTTTTTTCTTAAATCGAGGCTAAGCGGTACACGACCACATCTGAATTAACTGTAATTTTAATTGAGTGTTTTTTCAATGTAAAGTCGTAAAGTCCGCTGATAAAAGATATGATAATGTCATTCTTAGACATGTTAACACGAACCGTTGTACGAATTTTTAAAATCAATATCGGACATCTGATTAATGGCATAAAAAAAAAAAAAGACTTGTACAATTCTTAAGTATTTGTGATGCTATAATTAAAATGTTACGAATAAATGTAAACTGTAGTTTTTAATAGAATAATACGTTTTTTTGGGATTACGTCGAGATTTAGTGTAGTTAATTACTTGTTTTTTTTTTCTTGGGCGATTTTTGTGTTTAGTTATGTTTATGTACAATAGTTTTAATGTTGAATCGTTGTCATTTTAGTACCCGAAAACAAAATTCGAAAAAATCGATGCCAAAGTGGTGGACGCTCACGTGGTGCCAGACAACGTGTTGTTTTTGGGACCAACGACCGAAGGTGAACAATTCAAGACTTTGGCTTTTACCGACATGCTAAAAGTAGTCGATTCCGTGTCCTCCGCCGATGAAGGCGACAAGACCAAATGTGAGTAAAAGCCCCAGCTACATTCAAATTTATCCGAATAATTCAGATAAAAAATAAAACGCTAAAAATAACAATAAGTATAGTTTTCAATCGTTTTTATACGAAATATCAGGTTTTTTATGTTATTTACAATATTATGTTTTATAATCGTTTTCAAATACTTTGACTACACATTTAAACAATGTTTCCAACTATTGTGATTATTAACACAGACCAGTTCATCATTGTTACAACTTTTTTTTTTAGGTCATCCGAAATAATATAATATTTTTTAATCCTCGCGTCATGGAGTATAATAATAATATCGAATTATTCGCAACGCGCGTTTTGAATTTTGACCGTTATTCGGCCGCGATCAAACTAACGTTATTGTCGTTGACCTTAAAACGATTACATTAGTCGAACCGCCGGGTAATGGGATATGTCGATTATACTGAAATTAAAAAAAAAAAACTACAATGACACTACCCACAGTTTGATAAAAGATGATTATTTAAACGTCGTGCGTTGTACCTGTATAATATATCGACAGAACAAGGAAGAGAACGGTTAATATTTTTGTCGACCGGTCCGAAGACGGTCTTAAGACTAAAATACATGTGCGTCAAGTCGTTCGTATTTTTACCAACGGGTAGACACTAAGGGTATACCAGGTGGGGCTGTAAAGGTGGGCTAGTGGAGTTGGTTGGTTAGAAAATATTTAAAAAAAAAACGTTCTTTACCCACATAAAAATGAAAAAAAAAAAACATTATTTCAGATTTGGATTTTTTTAACAGGTAAAATACAATCATTGTCTAAGCATATATTCTCATTGGTCAGAACTGGTTATGTTACATTGGGAAACTGTGGTAACGTTGGTCATTGGTTGGAAAACTGGACTGTGTTCATTATAAACATAATTGAACGTCGATTGAAATTTGATCTGAAAAAAAAAATATTCTACTAAAATGACTGTTTTAGTCTATTATTAATTTGCTTGAATAACTGAGAAACGATTATTTGAAAATGATTTGATTAAAAACTATATTCGATTACAATTAAACCAATTTAAAATGTTTTTGTCAGCTCCGCAATATTATTAACATAGCATTGTATTATTATAATAAGTATATATATATATATGTGTACTTATATTATATGTATTCGATTTGATTTTATCTAGACTTTGTGAGCAGTGATACCATCTTCGGCGACGGAGTCCATCCCACTGGAGCGGTTGTCGCTGAAATCGTTAAAGCTAACATTCCAGTGGAGAACGGCGTGGTTCATTTGATCAGCAGACCGTTGATGGTAGTCGACAACAACGTTAAGCAGTTCGTTGAGGTTAGTATCATAGAAAAATTGTGTTTCGAAGTAAAAAAAAAAAAAAATGAATAAATAACAGTTGTGTGTGTGTGTGTGTGTGTGTGCTAACTCGCTTTGTTTACTTCTGTTTCATGTTGTCCGTTGGATTTAAAAATTACAGTCGTACAAGGTAAGAGCTTTTCGATATACTTAGATTATTATTAGTGTAATTTATAATAAGTGGTAATCGTATATAGTACCTATAGTGTCCGTAATGAAAACGCTTAATATTCAATATTCTTTAAGAATTTGTAATGATAATGCAAATTTACTGTAGGTTTTTTTTTATCACCGGGTAAATGCCATCAGAACTGTCACTTGACAAAAATATACTTATAACCCATAGCCGTTTAACGTCGCTGATAAACATTAACAGTAGTAATTAATGTTAAATTTCTAACGATATTATTTTTTGTCTGATATCAGCGATCATACCGATATCGATTATTCTGTGCTAATACATATGTATAGCTAAGTAATCGGGTCCTTATTATAGTATTGTTTTGGGAGGTTCTCAAATTAAGTTCCCCAACTTGGGAACTTAATTCGTTAACAACTGTAAGAGGCGTTCTAATTTCATTTATTCTCTGACGCTCTATCAGTGCCGACACAGTCATTCTCTTAACGGTGCACGAAGTAATAATATTACCTCTTTGTTCGATTAAAACTCGGACAAAATCCAGTTTAAAATAGTAGTGTTGTGGCTTAAACGAGAAATGTTATGGAATGTCATTACCTAAATGTAGCAATTAGCGCTATACTATTCCACGGCGGAGAACCGTTTTTGTTTTTGTATGTGAAATGATTTTGTACTCAGTACTTACCAGTTTAATCGATTAACCCTGTTTGAACCTTCGTTTAAGTAGTAAAAATAGAATTGGGTTTTAAATTTTAATTTAATATTTTTTTTGTACTTGCGTCGTGTACAACGTTTGAGTGATATGAGATATCCATATTTAATCCGCACATCATTTATAGTAGTTTATGCGCTTAAAATGAATGTTTAAAGACACTCCGTTATTTATGTTTGGGCTTTTCAAACTTATATTGAACCGCGTTCAGTGACTTAAACCGGGATTTAAACGATTTTAAAACTGATATATACAGTAAATATTTTATAACTGGGAGTATTTTGCGTTTTTATATTTGTTAACTTAATATGTGCCGCTAAAAAAACAACTTTGTATTATTATATTGTTGTGTAACACTGTAACTCATACTGATGATATTTTTTCTCTTTTTTTTTTTCACTCGAACCGAAATGACTTGTTTGACAATAATATGTCTATTCTATATTTTCAAGATTTTCGTAAGTACATTTATTTTTAAAAGGCTTTTTATTTGCGTGCAATGGTATTTAGTTTGTAATTTTCATACACACTTGAGTCTTTGGCGTTTATGATCATCAGTCAGTTCTTACTTTTTGTTTAGTGTATGGGTAGCTGTTTATTTATTTATTTTTCTTTTTGGTTTATACGGCTTTTTTTTATACTAAGTTTCTACACGTATGACAAACGGATGATTTGCATTTGTAAAAATATATGTGGTATAACGGTCAACGCTTATTTATGTTATTTTTTATTTTGCTCTCGATTTATTCACAGCATAATATATTAAATAACGTAAAAAAAGAATTGGAAATTTAAACGGCAAATACAATTTTTGCAATGGCACATATGATAATATAGGCAGAAATCCGCAGTTGGGAAAAAATATGATAATGGAGATGCTGATAAGAGAAGGCAAGCTGATAACATATATGATAGTGATAAGATTAGTAATTGAGAGTGATTAGCTGATAGGAGATGTATCACATATCCTATCAGCTAAGCATAATGAGATGATAAGAAAGCTAAGCAACTTTGGAAAGTAGCTGCAAGTAAAGCAACTATAAATTAAAAATAAATAATGAGTAATAAATAATATCTCGAGTTAAAAAATTGAATTCGTGTTTATTGATTTGGTAAATTTTGCGCGAACAATTAAATTAAAAGTACGATTATCTAGTGAGCGATTTTAGAATTGCGGAGAAAGATTGAGGGTTATAAGTTATAACTTAAACTGCCATATTCTATTCGTATGAGATGAGGAGAAGAACTATTTAGTGGGAAAATTCCGTTATAATCCCTGTAACGTCTCTTATAAAATGGTTGATATTTTTTTATCTAAAAGGCGAAATTTAACAAATAAAACTGGACTGGTAAAAAAAGCTTAAATGCTTGAAACCCACTTGTTATTATCAAATTTAAAATACAATTCATACGTCCGCTTTATAAATAATTGACCAAATATCAGTCATTTTATGTAGGAGACTAAGATGTTAAATAAAAGTTGGCTATCTATTTGGGTTGGGTTGGGTCAGTGTCTCTCATTGAAACTTAACACTAATTTGTAATTTTGATTATTATTACTCTTTGTTTTCTTAAACTTAGTAGTTTTTCAAAAATAGTGAATTACAAGACGTGAAATAAAATAAAGACGGCATTTAGTTTTTTCAGCTGTATATATTATATAAGTCTAACGATTTTCGCACAACATTCATTACGATTTTTTATACGCACTATGTATACTATATTACACCGTTCGAAATTCTAAGTAACTCATCCGTTATATAATATTATATTTTGTATTATAAAATATTATTGTAATTAAATGATGGTTTGGCGGTGGCACGGTTTTTTTTTATAAATAGAATGTGTTTTGCAATCGCACTTTTCATAATAAGAGAATTAAAGAGGAGAAAATGAAGATATACGTTAGCACAATTATGGATAATAAACTAAATTGCTAACGATTTCCATATGATGAACTATATAAATATTTTGTTCACAATAAAAATTATTTAGTATCACTGAAAATGTATGCGATTATGGTGAAATCCTACAAAAAATCGCGTATTCAGGCAGCGTCAGTTGGTTTGCTGGCCAACATATTACTATGGAAGTTAGCAATCTAGTTTATTGTTTACATCAGTGTGCAATTTTGATAAGAGTGTCGATCGGTAAGGGAGGACCACGGTTATAAAGAACTGTTCTTTATCATCGTTGAGAGGACAAACGAATTAGAGATAAAGTAGTGATAACAAATGTTGGTAGATAAAAAAGCTATGCGCTCGTATGGTTGCGGTAGTATAAAAATGCAAAACATGTTCTGCTGTTCTATAGTTTTAAGAAAATATTTTTTATTTTTTTCCGTTATTTTATTGGTTTGGTTATGTTTTTATGGTTGTTACAGGACAGAGACGAAAGCGTTTTGCACAGGTTCTACGAAGAAATCATGAACACCGGCGGTGATTTCATGGACGCGTTGGCCGCCATGCCGAACGTGACGCTTTTCGCTCCATCAAACGCAGCGTTCAACGACCCGTCCATCCAAGCCTCTTTGACCAACCGTACTTACATCAAGTCTCTGCTTAAACTGCACATCGTCAACCGACGGCTGTCCGTCGACGATATCATATCCGAATCTATCGAAAAGGTGTGTAGAAAAATCCACTTGTAAGTAATATATATTCAGTGGCGCAATTAGAGCTTCACAATTTTGGCGAGAGAGCGGAAGACTCCAGCTCCTAGCCGTCTAACTTCATAGGAGACTTCTCGAGGAGGTTGAGATAACACAGAAGGTCAGAAGGCTTAGGATGCTCCTTGCCAGAGACGCCGAACCTGCTGTAGTTGTTTTATTCGCTTCTGCTTCCCCCCTCTGATTGCACATCACTAAATATTTCGTGTGACCACTCTTGTTCGCAACGGCAAGTAGTTGTGTTGTAATGTTAATTCCTTGAAATATTGACAATATTAATTTGTGGTCGTCTTGTTCTGGTGAAATGACTACACGACCGCGGTATCCATCACCGACTGGCTTCATTGTACAGGCCCTTTTTTTCTTACATACAGACAGTAGTGGTTGTAAACGATTGTGGTTTTTAAACGCGGTCCCTCGACCGCAAAACGTTAATGTCATTAAAGTCGCCGGGCTCATTTTATCGCGTAGGCACCAACGACCTGCTTATATCCAACCATATCTAACGGACCACAGGGGGACTATAAGGACGATTAAGAGTAAAATGTAATCGCCAAGGAAACCTCCGCATGTGTTCTTAACAAGTTGAGAACTAAAGTTGAAAGAGAAAGATAAAAGTTTTATAGCCCTGTTGACTCGTGTAAATGGACAAACGCAAAGCAAAAGTTAACATAACTATCATAATATTTGTTAGGGGTGTGGATAAGGGATGCTATCCAAATGTCGAGGAATTAGAACCTTATCACATGTTTATAGCTGTTATCAGTGATTATGACAATTATAAGTTAATTTGATAGCACAGAAACGGATATATATATATATATATTATATTATATTAAATAAATTAGTCGTTGTGTAGCGGATCCAAAAAATATCAACCCATGTTACTATGTTATCTTGTAGTTTTCTTTAGAGGGGTTGTGGACTTATTAAAAAACGGCGAATGGGTCCGACCTGTGCACCGGTTACTTTTTAAACCTGCAATGTCGACCAGAAACAATGAAAACATCATTTGCTCGAGTAAATTTACGGCCCATCAAAGAGACGAGGTTAACGATCGTTATTTATACTTACCAACGATTATTACTCGGCTTTACCACGGTAAATAACGTAAAAATGTATGGTTCTTACTAGCTCTACAGTCTACAACTACTCCACATAAAATGTCCGACCTAAATAGTATTTTTTATGACTCATTGTTTTCAACCGAGAATATAAACCTGTACTGGGGTTCTATTTCATACATAGTTTTGTTTTATTCCGTTAAAATTCGAGCGTCTTTTCAATTTCAAAATGTTAACCTGTAGGTCAATTTAGATCTGTCAATAGTGTATTTCGATTGCGTTTTCAACATTTGCCTGGTCCCAGGTCGGATAACTCCAAATATTAAATTTGTCGGTAGCCCGTTATAAATGTTTGTTTTTTATAAACAATAATACTTTAAACCTTTTTTTTTTTTTTTAACGGAAGGAGTTATTATTTATTACTAATTACTCGTGGCTGGTTATTAATGTAAATTATTGATTATACGTTTTGTTATATTTGCCCTAACATCTATGAAGTTATACATCGTTGTTTATACATCATTGTCCGCTACAATCGACGATGTTATTCGTGTTGGCTTTAGCCTATAGTAAATACTATAATGCCGCGTATGACTAATGTATAATATTGTTGTATTGGTAGCTGCATGGCTAATTATGTGCATGATTTTAATTATTTGTCGTTTGTTTGTTTGGCGTTTTTTCCCCATCGTTCTTTCCGACTACAACGGATCAGCACTTGCAGATACCCACCGAAGTACCGCGCAAGGACTTGTTCTTCAACGTAGTCGCCAACGGTAAAAATCGCACTCTGACCGTGGAGGGCGGCGGCGTCAACGCTACCGTGGTTCAGGCTAACTTGGCCGCGACCAACGGCATCATTCACATCATCGACCGCGTACTTGGCATCCCTTCGTCGACGGTCGACCGCAAATTGGCCACCGACCCAACTCTCAAGTGAGTACAGACCAAAAAAACATCAACATTATACAAGTCTAACTTCTAACCCCCATTTGCCCCGGCTGAGTGAGATGGTTTTGAGTATGGCAACGGCCGACGATCTCCTATTGAGAGGTTTACGGTAAAGCCCCCTTGCGCTCATCAAAGCTTCGACAGTTTTTGGAAAGATATTAGACTTGATTACTTTGCTGGCTAAAAGAAAACATCAGTTAGACGCACAGTTTAACGGAGTTTACCTTTGCAGCAACACCAACTACTTGGGCTCGGCGTCCGGACTTAACGAGCAGCTGGCCGACACCCAAAAACGGTTCACTTACTTCGTGCCAAGAAACAAGGCCTGGGACGACTTGAACGACCAATCGCCGGCCGTTTACCAAAAATTGTTCACCCCCGAATACTCTTACATTGTGAGTACAAAATATTTTTGTTAAGATTATAATACTATGTATTATTTTACTTGGAGTTTGTTTTATAATGTCTATTTATTTGCAAAGGCCCGTCAAATTTTGGAACGCCACTTGATCATTTCGGACAAGGCATTCACCATGGAAGACTTGAGGAGAGAAGCAAACAATAACTACAACCTGTCTGTGAAACTGCCCACGGTCCGCGACGTTTCCATGTACATCAAAGTCAAAGAGTCTTCAGAAGGTAAGTGCGGCCTAAGAAGTTTTGCATAGTGGGTCTTCCCTTCACGAACGTCTTAAGCTTGAGGTTTAACCGCGTTACATGCTCAACTTGAAACGCGCAGATTTTCATTAAAAAAATCGAAATTTGATTACGCACAAATTTCACGATTTCACAAAATCATTGTAAATTTGCCCGGTTATTTATTTTACACGCCTTTTATTCAATATTGAGAGGAACTAGAGTTGGGGGTGAAACAATATTAAAAATATTTTTGTTAAATTTTTGCACCTGTTCTTATCTAAATGCAAAACACGAAAAACGAATTTTTCTTTTCCTAGTTTAAAAATAAAATATTACAGTTTATTACTTCGATCTTGTCAATTGCCGGTAGTTAATTTTATTTTAAAGTCCTAATATCGCAATATAAAACGGCAATGGTTAATATTAACATCTGATATTTACATCTCTGTATAATAATTGAAGGCAGGTTTCGGTTGAGTTGTTATTGAACTTGTTATTTTCTCACAGGTTACTCAATCGAATGGAGGAACGAGTGGATCCACGTGCACCGAGCGGACGTGCGCTGCACAAACGGCATCATCCACGTGATCGACAAGGTGTTGCTCGACGAAAGCGATGTTAACGCAGCAACAGCGATCAAGGCTGCGACCACCGTGTTGATGGTCGTGTTGGCCCAGAGTATCGCGTTCTACTACTTCAACTAGTCAAATTCCTCCACACCACGTCCCCAGCCAGTGTAGCCGTAGCAGCAGCATCGGCAGGGGCCAAGTTGATGCATCATCCATCATCGTCGTCATGGCAGCCGCCGCTACCACAGCCGCCGCTCTATAGTCGTCAAAGTATCCTACCAACGCGCGTTATTTTATAATAAAACCCGCAGGTTGTCGTCACCATCATTCATCCGACCCCCCCCCCTTCCCCCCACCTTACTCTCAATAAACTTTCCCGTATGATATGACCCGATACGGGTTATTCCCAACAACTCTCTACGTGCTGATCTACCGATTTTACCGTCTCCCATTTGGTTGTCCATATCGGTCCCAGTTAATTTATACCACTTAACGACAACGAGGAATTGTCTATCGCAGTTCCGTAGTTGTCTTGCAAACATCAAAAACTGGTTTTGTTTTAAAAATGTAATTTACATATTTTCATCTACTCTTTAGATTTTACTCTACGTTACGTATGTATGCGTAACTTATTTTATGTCCTATGATATATTTCCAGCAACTTTATTGTTTAACTTAAGATTTTTTTTTTTTCCATTACCTTTAGCTTGTGCCTGATTAGTGTTGTATAAACTTACAATCGTGCAAGTAGATTTTTTCTACTGCTCATAAATTTAATGATAGATGAATATGTTGTCCTATCCCGTAGGGCAGTTCTATACCAATTAGATAGGTATTAGCTTTTGAATGCGATTTTGCTTCTTCATCCAGCACCTCCTAGCCGCCGCCTAGCTTTATGCTGTCCCATGTACCTATTCTAAAAATTAAACATACTTATAGTTCAAAAAGAAAAAAAAAACATTTAACAATTTTAATTAATATATTTACTCCGTAGCGACTGTAATGAGATTGCAAATCACCTTGTAATGTCAACATGTGGTTTTTGTTAATCAAAAGGAAACGCATAAATGAGTCTGATAAAAAAAAAAAAGAAATTGCATATTCGAGTGCTAAGAATTGTTTGTTTTAGACCAAAATATATATTATTAACTATTATTATTATGTAAATACTGAACATGGTACGACTATAGGACTTAAATATAGTATATTTAAAGTATAAATATATAATAAATAAATTATATTATTACGTACGCCTTTTTTTGATAGTTCAAATCGAAACAAACTAATCGTTATACATTAAATATATTAATTATTATTATTATTATTATATATATATAAATATATCTTAATATATATTAGAAAACAACAAAGTTAGAATAACTTAATAACGAAATCCTTAGAAACATTATGATTATTATTCTATGTAAGTTATATTAGATATATATATATATATTTGTATTTTGAGAACAAATGTTAAAATAAGCAAATTAATGAATAGCCAAAAATTAACCTTGTTAAATTTGTATGGAAAGTCTATGTCATCCTTACTTTAATAAATTACAATAATATTATTATAATACCCTGTGTAGATGATAACTCATTTTATTATATATAAATGTACATCGGGTGTTATCACTGTAGCTAGCGCGAATGAAGCTTGCTCCGATTTTTATTATAATAATTATAATATAAAAAAGGTTTTTTGTTTCTTTTTATTACGAATAGCAAATAGAGTCTTTAACAGCTTTTTGATCGTTTTTTAATAATGAATAGCGGTCGTTATTTAAGTATTACTTTTTATTTTTTGTTTAAACATTATTACTTACTGGCATAAAGAAACACATCGCCGCAATTTGGCGTTATGTTTGTAAGCCAAGACAAATTTTCCCGTAGAAATTAGAAATGACAACCCGGTTTTTTTTTTTATGTTTTAAATAATCAACAATAATATTTTATGTATATAGTAGATTTATGTGTTAAAATATGTTTTTTTTTGTCCCCTAATAATAATATGTACGGTTGGAGACTAATGCAATTTTTATTTTATTTTCTGTACCATATTTTTATTATTTTTTATTTATTCCTTTTAATTTATATAATAAATAAATATATTTATATATATATATATATATACATATATTATATGAATATACATGTATTACGATAATGATAATACCTACATACATTTCAACGATCTGCACCCAACATTATATATTATGTATAAAAATATATATTATACATTATTCATATAAATCTTTTTCTCAGTTGCAATGTATAATTTTTTTATTTCTCGATGTACTCTCCCGCTTTTTTTTATCTTTTTATTATTGTTATCCACGCGTAAGCTACCTCGGATAATGGTGCAAAAAGCATATTGCGTGTTTGTGTGTTTAAATGCGTTCGATATTTTGATTTTCACATCACGAAAAAAACTATTCTATTAATACAATTAAAATAAAAGAACAATTACTATAGTACATATTATAATAATATAAAATATATTACATAATATATGAAAATGACGCAAGAACACGGAATTTATTATTTTATTATCCGCTGCCTGGGCATTGATAAATTAAAGTAACCAGAATTGTTTAAGTTCACATCGGTACGCTGTGTTTTTTGGGGGATGGTGTTGTAAAAATAAAACGCTAAAATTAAGCTACTTTAAATTTAACTATATTTTCCAATGATATTGCAATGTGTAAAATAATATACTTGGATGATCACTATGAGTATTTCAGTTAAAAGAGATTAAATCTTTTAAAACACTATTTTAACATTCAGTAAACACGCCAAATTCCTCGTTAAACTGCTTCAATTCGTTTATATCGACAGCCAGACCATAGTGGAGAAATTGTTTTAGAGTAGTGCACTGCATTGTCGAATTTAATTTGAATAAACACTAAAAAAACAAACAGAGAACAAAATTATAGTTTGTTAAGTATGTAATAAACTGTAATAGACTGTCACAAATTTGCCGCTAAAGTAATAGAGTACAATATTTCGATTAAATTATTTCTCCGTTATGTATTTTAATTTATTATTTAATTATTTATTTATGTCTTTAGTAAAAAAAAAGAAGAATTCACTCCTAAAGTAATCAATTTGACAAATTTAATTTAACTTATAAGTTGTATTATTTTATCAAATAGAACGAAGCTACTAATAAACATGGATTTCTATTATTATGTCAAATGAATGCATTAACTTAAATATTTTAGAAATTATTGTATGATTCAAAACTATTATTGGATATATCTGGTTAATATATATTATGATAAAAAAAAATAGGTTCGTGATGTTTGTAAACAAACGGAGTAAAAGTTCGATCGATAGTTTCTAACTATTAAACCTTTAAAATTTTTTTATAAATACATACACATATATACAGTTCAATAAAATATAAAAATGAATAGTTTTCATGTTTTATGTACGTAACAAAACAACAGTCAAAAGTGAACATAATTTAGTAAGGATCATAATGTAGACTGATAGATGAGATTTTCATGGACCTCAAGTCATTAGAATTATCTTGTTTGCATTTTGCCCAACACAAATGTAATTCCTCTCGTGGGAGTGATAGCCGCAAACAAAAAATGATTGCTCACGAAGAATTATCATCATTATTATTAATGACGTATAATTTTATCTTTAAATTGAGAATTTTCGAAGAATCGCCTAAATCCTTTATTGCTTAATAAATAATTGTGGGATGGGGAATCCTCGAGTCAAATAGTATAATGGTCAACAATACATGTTATGTGTGTTACCTGCCAAGCGTCAGCCGGCACGTTGCCTTCTAAGTACATGGCATACTTGTCGAGGTAAGTTTCCAATGGATGACACAAAGTAACGTGGTAGAATCCTCCAGTATCGTAGAACGCGCTGTACGACGGCTACGGGAAATCATAACGTGGGTTGATTACTTATTATACTTGTATTGTTTACGCGTCATATAATCAATCAGAAAATCTAAGTAGTCCATGGGAAAAAACGGGCCCGTGATTTGAATAAGGTTTCAGAAATGTTGACCGATCGTTTTATTACCGACACCCCAAGCACAATCGCGGTCGGTATATTGATAATCGGCTATTGTGAACGTAGGTCTATGTCCAGAGGCCTTTTCAAACAGTTAATCATAGTAAAGCGAGTTCGACAAGTAAAAACGGACGCACTCAAAAGACATTGTGGCCGGTACAGCCACAATTATTGCTGCTATTCACATAGTATTGTAATGGCCACGGTTCGCTTACGTTTTTGAAGATCATCATACGGTCGTACAACAACCGGGGCTGATCGATTCGTGGGAAATATTCTCTCAATCCTCGGTCCAGTGATCCGCGTGTACCTTCAACGAACAATATGGCGTACTCGGCACAGACGACAAAGTACCCTGCTGGTCAAGTCCAAATCCGTGTCAAGTGGCTAAGCAAAAAAACTATACTTAACGCGGTGGTATACTCACCCGAAAACATTCGCTCGGATCTTGTAAACGCCGACAGATCGGACGTTTGACCGTTTTGACCGGCTAACGTCTTGTTGTGCTCCACGAGTTCCTGCCAATCGATGAATACGTATAAGAGTCGTCAACGATAGTATATATATATAATATAGTATTTAACGATAGCGTTTATGTACAAGTTGTATCGGAAGCCAAAAGATCCTAACACATAATATAAGAACCAAAAGTTTAGAATGGCGGGGACATGTAGGAGAGTGTGTGAATAGTAAGAATGCAGGTGAAGACTATTGTTTTTGGCAGAATACTGTTTCGATGATTTCCTCTCACATTTTTTGCTTGTGAAAGGTTAAGAAATGCATAAACCTCTTCGAATCGAAATTATAAGATGTTTTTCGAGATTAACCTTAAACTTAAATACTTTCGGTCGTCTGTTTAACCTTATAAAATTGTACTAGCTGTGCCATGTCCGTTGTAGTATTGCACACGATCACCGCTCTGGTCATGTACTTTTTTAGGAATTTCCCATTGTCCCAGTCGAAACCGTAGTTCAACAGACATCCTACGCGTATGCTAAGCTGAAAAACGTTAACAAAAAGTTTTAATTAAAAAAGCGATAGTGTTTGTCAAAAAACTGACCCATTAATCGGTTGTTAACACACGGAAGGCTAGTAGTGAGAAAATATAAACGTAAACATTAGTTATTGAGTGATAAAAAAACAAATTGCATAGACCTTTGATAATTTTAAATCATCATTGGTCATGTCGATAGGGTTATTTTTTCTTTTAAATCCTCACTTTGCCGTCCACCTCCAATACTGTTAAGTAAAATTAATAAGAAATTGATGAGGGACAAGGAGAGCGTTGGCCTAGAATTAATTAGGTATACCATAATTGAATGGCGTATTAGGTATATCGTACTTCTAATGTGGTGCAAAAAACTTGCAATTCGTGTTCTTCAAATAAGTATTCTTCGAATGGCGTTAACTGTGGAACACAAATATTGGTCGTTAGATTAGGTTGATTTTTTACTTAACTGTAGTCAGGTACATAAATGTAAAAAAAAGTTGACTTAAATTATTTTTATTCTCTAACCAAACTTGTACAACATATTATCGATTTTGTAATTGTTTGGTATTCAAAAACTTCGTTAAATCAACGGTATTTCAGTAAGAAATTCGTTACCAGTGTATGGATTACACTGTACGTTGTTCCATGTTTGGAACGATTATATTTATTGTTTATAATAATATCTGCTCATGCGATTTGTTGATATTGTTTTTATATGTAGTTGAAAATTATCTGTATAGATGTCGCTAGCTGTTTCCGCAGAAATATAATAGTATATCATATTATGAGTTTGTTATGATCAAGTTCCAACAAACACATGTTCGAAAAACGAAAATCATGCGCAGTAAACGTTAAAAATAAAATCTGGCTTAATATTTTTTACCGTTAGGTATGCAAAAAGAAACTAGTCAAGACTCATTTGCCACGAGTGTTGTGAAATATTAACTGTACACGAAATCGAAAACCTAGTAGGTACAGTTCGTTTTTATTTAGATTTGTTTTTGCTCACTCGTCGACGGTTAATTATAATGTATACCTGTCGTTCAAAGGGAAAATGCATAAACAACGGTTCTATGGATGAGACGACTTGGCTGCCGTGCACTAGTTCAGACAAATCGAATTGAGCATATCCCAAAATGGTGGCCTTGTGGTGTTTCAAGCGGACAGCATGAGGATGACGACCTTTGTGTCCTTCCAGAAGTTTCGAGTACTTCCACTGTTCAGTGAACTTCTTTCGGTCACCGACAATAGTGTCCAAGGGATGCTCACCGTACAATGCCATCATCTCTTCTTCCTCGCCTTGTTTAGATAGCTCGCAGGTCACCTGAAAAACGTATCTCGATTAACCAAGATAACAAATAACCATGAGTTTTATCTTTGAAATCGACAACATGAATCGCCAATGGAAAAAATTGCGAATACAATGAAAAACATTATATCTGAGTACACACAAATTCGAAAATCATATAAGCGAGTACCTATAATATTATGTTAAGTTAACTCATGAAAAGTGTATCGATTGTAACAATTATTATTAATAGCGCTAGGTTCTGATATATATATTCCGACATCGCTATTATACAGGTAACTTCCTGCGCTAACGACTATATTCGTTAACCGATAATTAATCATCATATTCATCTGCCATTGTTCTGATATGTATTGCCCGCTATAATTGTTTACATTACCTAAACCCCGACACGGTTGATTTCTTTGTGGGTAAGGGTTCGATTTAGATACACGGAGACGGTGATATTTTCATTGAACCTCCGGGACTTGTGGCGTTGCGTTTTAGTGCATTGGAAAACAACTTGCTGCTTGTTTGGCTACAAATAACGATTTTAGTGCCGCGACAATATGATTACATAAAAAGAGTTGTTCGGCCAGCCCAATATGGAAAAAACACCGATCAATCTTCAGTACAGGAAAATAACATACGTGTATTCTTTAGTGTTACGGCCTAGTCTTACGCGCTTCAATGATCACACTGGTGTCGTCCCAGGCGCCCCTGGGGAAATCGGCGAAGCGTTTCGAGACGACGACGTCAATTGTAATAACTTTTTTTTACACGCCGAACATTGGTATATGGCAATACCGTGATACGGTTGACGCGATTTGACAGTGCCATCAGGTATTATGAGTCTCGAAATAATGAGTTTTCGCGTAGCACGAACAGAAAACGAATTTTGTTTTTATTTCCTAAACACGTCGAATACGTTTCCCTCGGGTTTTTCATAAAACGGGTAGACAATATACAGTTTGCACAAACGAGCCGTTTGCAAAGAAAAACAAACGACGACGCGCTTATTTGGCTTTCGAAATCTATTATACCGCTGTGTTGCCCTAGGGGGGTAGAACGCACGAGACGCTTAATATTTACTATAGCTTCGACGCACTTTAAACCGGACACATTTAGTTTGGACCATCTCGGCGGCTTCCAGGATCCTCTGGGAGTTGAGGATACAAACGTCTTTGTAGTCGATTTCCGTTGTCTTACCGGCTATTGAAATCGGTCCAATAATGATTTTCTGATTGAACAGTACATCGGCGTTACGGTCGCTTTCCAGAAACAGATTTTTAATTCTGAAGAAATAAAAAAAATATATTTCATTGACAAAACGGGTTGTATGTGTGTTGCGGTGGCTTAGGTTTTAGTTATTGAAATACAATAGGTATCGTATTTGTCGTGTACTTGAGAAGCTGAAGTCGGCGCATGGGCAACCCTTTCAACCGGGGAACGCGCAAAACGAGCGGTATAAAATATTTTTTCATTTCTTCGTTGTAAAAACTACCAGCGTCCAAGATAACAGCGAGGCCGTTGCATTCGGCCACTGGATTCAATAAAAACGACTTTGAAAAATTATCATCTAGAAAATATTATTGTTTTTTTTTTATATACAAATAAAAATAGATTATTGGTGTTCGTTTAAGTTTTCCACGAAGTTTTCTACGAAGTAGTAAGCAATAAGTTCATCTATGCACATTTGTTGACTTTTTTCATTGTGAAAGTAGGTTTAGCAAAGAGAGCTGCAAAACGTGTAAAACATGCCTCAGACCATTTTTCCGAGGCTTGAATAATATTAGCAATTTTAAAACCGTATACAAAATTAAAATATATTAACATTTTACATAAATTTTTGCATGGATTGTTTTCGATAAGAGAAAACAAAAATGGGTTTTTCGAGGCAAAGATATAAAAATAAGAAAAAAATATCAAAAATAAACATTTGAATTTTATTTAAATTAATGTTAAGTAAAAAAGTCAGGTTCAAATGAATTTTGAACGATGTCCAAATTTAGATAACGTCTCAATCTTCCATTTGGCATTAAAGTGCTTTCACACTGAAACTGTTCAGTTCCTCAGAAAACCGTGTCTCCCAAAAACACTTTTTCGTACAAAAATAAAATATTTAAGCGAACTGTCAAGTTTTATCAAAAAAAAAACTGGCGTTTTCTTAAGAGGAAAATGTACAACATTGCCGAAATAATTCTGAATATCTGATTAGGATGTCTGTATCATCGGTCTATTATATTATTTACGACCGCGTGGTTGAATATTTCATCGTTATTCCCTAACCGTACAGGATGGATGTGTCATACAACAATAGTTTACGGGCTGTCAATTTACTGACGGCTAATACTCCATTAACTGGTCGTGAGCCGTCAGTGCAAGTTTAAGTGCACAGCTATAGACTACAAGCAGCAGCCAACAGCCAACAACGTCTACAATTTATCACCAGCTGTCGTAGAACGTTAGACAACGAATACTTTGTATTCTGGCGGAAAGAGTGCTACCAGCTGATATTGTTTTGTTTCCTCGAACGCGATTCTGGCTTACCGTCGAAAAGCGATTGGCCGTCTAGCACAATTGATTGGTCGTCGGCTTCCTTGGCGTTTCCGGCCGGATGTCGATTGTTTACTTTGGATAATTTCGCCACCATACCGCTCAGGTCGACGATCGTTTCGTACGCTTTGCAACTTTGTCGACGGTCGACAATCGGTTTGCGAACCGCGGAGGAAATGGTTTTTTTCGAATTCGCTTCATGTAATTCTGCTAGTTGTCCTGCCCGGGGAATCACTTGTCCGCCGAGCGTCCGGATGTCGTGCGCAGCCATTTTACCCGCATAAGTGTGATGTAGTTTTTCCAAAGCCGTTCTAGGTGTGAAAAATAAAACCGATAATTTCACCCGGGGGAACTCATAACGTGTACACTGACTTGGGAGGAAGACTGCTTCGTTCGAAAATAAATTTAAACGATGCGTTGTTGTCTTTGAGCCTCGTCGCGCACTCGTAGCTGACGATCTTTTGATTATGTTCGACCGCGAACACCAGCCAATTTTGACCGTCGTAAAAATCCGCCATTTTCAACAGTCTTGTTCCGGCGTCGGTGAAAACCTGCGGCCAAACATCCAAAAACCGAGGTACATACATATTATGTTATATGGCCTTTGGCACGGTAGAAAAATACAGGCACGGGAAACGATGGCAATCTTTTTTGTATAATTTTACGAGGATGTGCGTGCAAGTAAACCGTGTACAATGGGGTCGAGTGGTCGAAAACACAAGCTGTCTCTGGCCGAAGACAATGATGTAAAATAACTCGAGGCGGGTAGCCGGGTAAAAAAGGAAGTCATTATAATTTTTCGCCCTCGGTAGACGTTTTTCCATGTTGACGATTCATCTATTCAACTGTAGCATATATATATATATATATCGTAGCATTGCACTTACCTTGGCTACTTTTCCGGCGCACACTACGTACACGTTATGCCTGGACTTGGAAAAGTCTTTATACATGATATGAAGGAACCGTTTCTCGTGGTCCTTGACGTAGAAATTAAAATGTCCTGCGGTTTCATTGGTTTCGAGATTATCTTTTTGGTTGGCTCTTCGATGACCTCGGCCGGTTCCTAGACCCGCTTTGTGATCCACTCTTACAGACCCTCCATTGTGGTGTCCAACTGGGCGCAGTTCTTCTACAAAATGGATCACGAAAATAAAGCTATAGTTGACCATGGTCAACGATCGTGTTAAAGTACTACGTCATTTACACGCAGCTGCTAAGTAAATGATAATTGAAATCTGTTTTCAAACCTCATCATAGGTTACCTTAGCAACTGCGGTGTCTTTTTTTGTATGTGTAATTTAGCGTCGTAGACCTATTACTGATAATACTTTATATGGTTTTTTAAATTTTAGATAAAAAACAACATGTACGTTTGAACAGCATGCACAACACTAAACTGAGTATTCTACTTGAGACACAGTTAGGAATGATACATTTTAAGATGCTTTGAAGCAATGTATTTAGTTTTCATATGACTATGAACGCGTTTGGATCAATTGAATAGATTTCTCGAAAATAGTATGTCAATCTTCCAAGGTCATTTTAAAACGAGTGCTTCGATCTAGTTATTATACCTAAGACGTAACATAGACTGTTTAATAATATAAATATTATTAATAAAACTATTAATAATAGATTTTTTTTAATTTCAAATCTAACAGTCAAAATAATGATACAGCGTTATTGACAATGAAATTTTTTTTAAAAAAACAAGGTGGTTTAACTATTATTGTAACCCTTCTAGATAGGACACTACATGGCATGCGTTTGTAAGGTTTGTTAATTGATTTCCAATTAGATAGATAAATGATAAACCTGACAATGAAGTCATGGATTAATTATTTTATTTTAGTTTCCATCTTCCCAGTGTTTACTGAACTATATTCATATAAGTCACAATTACACAAGTGAAATGAGAATATTGGATTTAGACGCTTGTCACTTCATTCTTACAAACAAGATTGCAATTAGGATTTGGCATCTAGGATGGATAAATCGATTAAACTGAAGGCTGTTTTGTTGAAAAATTAAATAATTCCGTTTGGGCATGCAATAGGTTTTCGTTTAAAATTGTTTAATACATTTGGTTTGTTGTACACGTTGTATTGACTTTTTCCGGATCTCGCGTTCAAGGATTTTGAAAGAGGCTCTCAACCGCCCACACCGTGACCGTATTATTCACAATAACAGTGTGAATTACCTATTACCCGCATGATTCATTCGGTCATCATTTTTATTGACTGCTTACCAATTTTGAAACTATTCCAAAAGTATTCCGCATGTTTAAACTCATTAACTGGTACTAAATTCGACGGTTTTAAATTGATTATTCCAACGGTTGTATTTGCTCAATGTAAAATTCGTTTCAGTCGTCAACAGATGATTTACTCGAAGTGTTTCGAATCTCGTTTCATAATGAATTTGGCAGGAAAACGAGATGGCATGATATTATCATTATTTTGGTGCCCGTCGGTCTTACTGTGCCTTGAGAAGTACAATGGCCGCCCGTTGCAATTTAATGCTTAATTAACCTTGGACGACATTTCCCAGCGGAGCATAAAGCAGAATAAAATAAGAATAAATCTATTGTACAACGAAAGTCGAGGACGTCTTCACACCAATTTAGAAATTACAAAAAAAAAAACGTTCCAGCGGGGTCGATCGTTGGTTTTAATACTATATAATACCTAGTGAGACAGCTCGCAATAAAGCGCATCTTTTTACTATGGTAGACCCATGCCAGTTTCACCTCGACTTAAATGGAATTGATGAGAAGTTAATGTCATAAAAACTTAATTGAATACAGACGGGGAGGACAAAAGTTCTCTGTTAAAAATTAAAATACACCTTAAGACTTCTATTTTTTTTTTATCTTTTATATTTAAATTTATTCGGTTAACTTTTAAACGGAAATAACGTTGTGGTTTTGAATTAGCATATTAATAAATTGTATTTTTTTATTTGTTAATTTATACTAATAAAAATTGTATTACATTCTACTTAGTAATACTATTAGGAGTGGTTGTATAAATTGCATATTGTGATGACGGGGCAGAAGAGTAATTTAGCTTTTGTGCAAGTTGTAGGCACTCGGTCTACATTGCTGTTTGTTTAGTACAGGGTTCTAGTAAATTAAAAAAATATTTTTTATAACACAGCAATCAAGAAATGAAGTCCACTTATTGGTGGCGACTACTCTTACTGACTTTAAACTTATTTTTTATGGAGGGTTCAAAATTAAAAACACATCGAAGAAGGAGATCTTTGAACTATTATAGCATACAAGTTTATCCAACTTCATCAACGAAATACTTCAACATAAAAGCAAACCGTTAAGGATTGTTAAGCTTTTGTTGGCAAGGATTTCCAACAAAAAGATGACTAAGAGGTAAGCGTTGTCCGGGTGAAACACAATGGGTGAAAAGGCACCTACTCAAGTTTGCATTTAATGGCCGGTTTAATAGGTTTTCAAAAAAACCGAACCGAAGTCGAGAGTGTTTATTGAGATAATAATTAATTTTACCACTTTCCAGTTCAACGTACCGAATTTGAACGCGTTTCGAATCAATCAAGCAACTTTCATCGATTATCTTTCACCGATTTACTCAATCGTAAGTGCTTTAATTCAAACACATTTACCGAAAGTGTTTGTTTTGGACGAATTCAGCGTTTTGGTCGATATTCTCTTGCACGCGTTGCAAACAATATTGCTGGGGTCAGACGTTAATCGCTTGCGTAAGTACGCCTAAACTCCGCAACAACAATAGGAACCTCGCTCGCAGGTCCAATGCACCGGCGGTATTCACGGTCTGTTTGCTTCGATCAAACACGATAACGCGAATAATTAAACTGGTCTATATATTGTGTAGGTACTGTTTTATGTAATGTATTTTTTTTTTATGCATTTGTCACCGTTCGACGAACAGTATAGCACGAGAACCATTCGGAATCCGGTCGGGTTTTTTTTTTTTTTAAGGTCGAGCTCTCAAAATGTCGACACGACTAACGTGTCGAGAATAGTTTTATCCAATCATGACTCATGTACTCGTGTACTTTGTCTTATAAGTCTGTTCTAAACATCCAAACGCGAGACCAGGCCAGACCATCGAATACCCTTCTTTTTTTTTTACCGCAGGAATATCAATTAATTACCGTCTTTTAAGTCCTATTCTACTGTGTAAACGTTTAAGAGGCCAGTATAACGGATCATACGAAATATTTATTTAAACCTAAAACAATAGCTTGCTATAAAATATTAATCTTGTATCGACCCCAAAAGGCTATTAAACAAAATATGTAAATCCAATCTCAAAGATCTTAGTACCTACCATTTATCTATGCTAATACGAACTGTGGCCAATAGCCAGTTGTTTGGCACTATATCGTTCACTCTTTCAAACAATCCTTCGAGGCATCTATTTAAAATCAGCGGAAGAGAATCGGTGGAATAATAATTTCACAGTGATGTTTTTTACTTTGGAGCTGTCACTGAACGTATCCGCAGTCATTATATTTAAAAGAAAAAAATGTAGCAGCATGTACTTATTATTCTTGTCGTACCTTCTTAATGAATACAGGTTTAAAATAAAATACCGCTCTATAACATAGCGTAATAATCTTTAACGATAGAACTCATCGACTTTATTTTGACATTATACTTACCTTTAAAAAGCGTTATGTCTTTTAAATCGGGTGTTTAATTTTGGTAAAGTATTGTTCAGAATATTTGAATAGCTATTTACAGGTGAAATAGGCTGAATTTTTTCATTTAAATATTGTACTTCGGATGACAAAAAAAAAACGGCGTGTAGTTTACGGCGACCATAAAGTACCAGCTTTCTCGTAGTCGATTATTTATTTTTGAGAGCAACCCGGATCATGAAATATGATTTAGTAGGCGGATTTATACGATTAACTCTTTATCTTTTCTGATGGATCGATACGTCTTCCGAGTAAAAGTCTTACTACAGCGGGTTTTTCGAAGGAGCGAGCTGATGGACGTTTTCTGTCGTAATCGACCGGGAGAACATTAAAGGTGAGCGCCGGTTAGGTTAAGCTGAGTGCGTACAAACGTATTGTCCAGCTTATTGCTACCAGGATTGTTGTCTGGAAACCGTTACAAGGTTGGAAGACTCGCGTCATCTGGCACGCAATACCATACACGACGACACTGTCCACTCTCGCTGCCTCCGTCACAAACATGTCGGCGAGATGCACGGCGTGTATCGTATAAGACACACGACCGACACAGGGAATACCCGGTTACTATATGCCGTGACGTTGTTAGTCATCGCGGCGGAGACTCGATGACGTAGGTACATTCACCGGGCAGCGAGCCGCGGCCTGTGTGGACGATATTGGCGAGTTGCGACTTCTGGCAGAGATACACAGCAGCACCGTATGGTGGCGGTCGCAATGCCTACCACTGTGTGTACCCATAGCGGCGTGGTGGTGGGAAGATTCCCAGTGAAAGTGTTTTTCAAAGCGAAGGTTTTGCAATGGCTGCCGCCGTGTGTCCAGTCGGCCATGGGATTTACCGGACAGATACGACACACAGACGTCGCCGTGGTACCTGCACAGTTGGCGCCTTGAAACGTTTCGGTTCGTCAGTAATAAAACGGACGTTTACTATTCGAGTAGTCGCAAACGAGCGCGGTACGAAAAACCTCATCAGTGTGCGCTTGTGATTGTTGTCGTTTTAATTATTTTACCGAGTTGAACGCGCGCCGCAGTGTGACTTTGTCGTCGCCGCCGCCGATCACCTCTCGTCCGCCAACAGGTATGACAATTATTTCAAACTACAACAATATTTACCTAATACCGCCGCCGATAAAGGTCCGCGTTGGCTCGGAAGAGACTCCCGGCCTTTGCGAGACCTGCGCTTTGCCGTCTAAAAAGACCAGACCAGTTTTTTCGCCCATGAAATCGCCTGCAGTCGTGTATGCCGATTGACAATTATCGTTATTGTGCGAGATAAAAGCGCCGCAATGTTTATCATTAAATATGTCGTGTTCGTCAACAGCAGCATTGAGTAAACAGAAACTATTCATTGCTCGAGTCGCCAAAAGTTTATAAAGCAATTGCGAGAAAAGCCCTCCTTGGGGGTCCAACGTGCAGATTTAATCTAAACGCTATTGCTATTGTGTTTGGAAAATCGCTATTGTTTAAAACCCAACCGGAATATAGACTTAACCGCCGCGAAATCACTACCGGTGCACGTTTTGCTCTTATTGAAAACCCCCGCGGGAGTGTGTTTGTCACTTATTGCTTTTCAAGTTTCTCCGGCAAACTGTTTGTTCGACAACCACAGATGTTTGAATTGAAACTTCAATGGCCGTCTGGACCGTTTGTCCGGGTCCCGAAAGTCCCACAATATTGACTTGACCGCTCCAGGCGAAACTTTTGTGACGCATCGTGTCATAACGGGGTCGAGTCAGACCAAACGTCCTCTTCAAAATTAATCAACGTGCAAGTCACCGTTGTAGTTGGTACCTTTTGCGAGTTATTTATTTATGGCGCTCTTGTTGGGTCGAGTCCACGAGTAGGTGTGTTTACACAACAATACATGAAACGTCATATAAAGTTTAGCAAAGAAAATATCTTAATAAAAAAGTGATAAGTCGTTTGCGTCGGAGATATGCATCATCGTTATATTAAAAAAGTTGCTTTTTGGCATCACTTAAGAAGAAAAAGAAATATGATCCCAAGGGACCCTAAACTTTTCGCATTACCGACGAGAAGTTGGGTGATTTCAATGAATTCCCGCAAGAAAAACTGGTATTAAGGACACCGCCCATCTATCAGTAAGAGAAGAAAATAAATGAAGATTTACGGCCTCGACGTGAATTATTAATAACCCGAAAACAAACTTTAAAAACATTTTAAATTTAATACTGTATACAAGTAACAAATAACTTATCGATCAGGCGCCTTCTAATTATCTAGAAGGGGAATCTTTAGGTGCAGAAAAGTATTGTGACACCTCGAACAAGAGCTATTATGTGTGTTGTTTAAGTCATAACGAGTCTTCGATAGGGATCTAGAACGATTTGCGTTGTACTTTCGAAAATGAGTATTGCATATTTTGTTATGGCATAATATTTTAACGTAGGCGAATAAATTCCATGTGGGTGACTGTTTTGTCATATTAAATCGAGCAACAGTTGCCGGAAAACACATTTTTCCATTTCTATGAAAATGTTCGTTAATTAATTTGCAGAGATTTTCGTGTAAATAATTTTTTTAAAATATTTCGTAAGAAATAGTCGGTATTAATGTTATTGTAAAAGTTATTGGCCTTTTTAATACGAGGCCTCTTTTTGATAAAGGGACCATAGTTAGAGGATTATTACCCGTTGAATTATTTTTATTTTTTTCCCGTATTCTCCATTCTCAAATGTAAATTTTTTATAATACAGATTCCTTCTCGACTAGTGTGTCTGACGTCTCTGGACCGAACATTACCATTTTTCAATGAATTATACATTTGTTTTAAATAGTACCGCTGTGTGGGTATATAATTATAATTATCACCGGTGTAACCATTAAACAACATCAGCTATGCCGTTTAAAGTCTATGTATTTGTGTAAACAACCGGTGTTTACGCCGAATTTCAGTAACAACAATACGTCATTATAATGGTCAAACATTAAAATAAAAATATAAACTGGTGGTGATTTTTGTTTTTTAACGCGAATCGCCGGCTTTTACTGCACAGTTTCCAGGTATACAATAATTATAGTATATGTGTGGTTATGACGCTGGAACCGGCAATTTTTAAACGTCCAAAGCGATTTGTTTGGCGAGCCCAAAACAGCTAAACTGTAATATTATTGTCGTGACGTTTTCACAGAAATCTCTTTTATTGAAATACTACCATATTTTGCACAATCCGCCGGTATAATATTGTTTAACGCAGCTGTTATGATAGTTACCGAAACCGTCGGGTGCAAGTAATTGAAAAACATATACTATAACGTATTTCGGTTTAGCCAATCGAACGGGCTGCGGATTTTTTTAATAACCGAATATTTATTAGAAACCCGACGGAAGAGGAGATCAGGAACTGCGGGTGGTTTAACACTGTGAACTCTAGTAACATTCTGCTTTCTCTGAGCGGCTGTATTTTTAAAACTCGTCGTGCGATAATGATAATAATCATCAACATTCGAGATCATAATACTATATTCGACTATCCGACATAAATTCAATTTTACTGTTACATAAATTATTGCTTTGGCAATAGGCCAGACGGGCTGAAAACACATTTCGTCGAAATGAGACTATTATATACGTAGGAGCGGGACTCGGGAAGGAAAAAAACTTTTAACAAAGTACCTGAAATTAAACTTTAATAGGTAATATTTTCCGTACTCGTTTAAAATGGTATATACTCCGTCTTAATCGAAAACTTACAAACTCCATAAAAAAGTAAATGAACTTGGCTGGTGAGTAACGCTCACTTGAAGTTTAACGTCCCCGTCTAATTTAGTCGACTGAAAATTTCAATTATTTTTCTTCTTGTCGATTACTTTTTGCGAATAAGCTTTTACGCCTAACTTGTAATTATTTTTTCATGAAATTTCTTTCTTTTCGACTTTATCAGGAAGTCAACGTATTGTTTTGAAAATTAAATCTGAAAAGCTTTTTTCTCCAACATACAGAAAAAATCCAAAACGTTTTGTTTAAAAAGGCGACTTAAAATACCATTTACGGCAGTTTTGGCTATTTTAAAGTTAAATGGTACGAAAAGTGCCTTAGCATTACCTAAATTAGCTTAATTTTTCGGAAAAAAATACAATTTTCCAGAATTCTAATAAAAAAATGTATATTGTAGTTTTAAGTTTAAATTGAAAATCTCCTTTTCTAAATGAAAAATGATTGTATCGTTCAAGATTTGAACGTACATTTATTACCAAAGATGTATGATGTTGTTAAAAAAAGTATGTTATTTTAATAAATGTTTATTGACATAACATCGACAATGTCAAATTTATTTGAAAATTATTAAAAAAGTTTGTAATCATTACCTTTGTTGTCTAATTAATATTGTTGTCCTTTCGTACAATTGCATTATTCATAAATCATGAACAATAATTATGGTACAATAACCATTGTGTCAAATCTATTGTTTCATAATAATATTATGAAGTTTGTCAAGACCAGCAATTCCTTTTATTATAGAAAACCTCGGTCGATCAACAGGGCTGCAAACGGTTCGTTTGTTAAAAAAATGTTTAAAAGTTACTTACACCGCTTTTATCCATGACCGACATGTCATGCCTGTTCTTCGGCATTATTCAATGATTTTTTTTAATCAATTCCTTGGGCTCAAGACGGGGTTTCAAATGAATACACATATTATTGTTTATTTTTAAAATACTTAAATTTTATCGTTACTGACTGAAGTCGCTCTGGACGATTGGGAGAAATTTACTACGTCGGTGTTTTTTCTTTTGTTAAAATCAATTATGGTTACAATTTTTTCCGCCATTCATGAATTTTAATTTTTTTTTCATCGAAACGAACAGACGATGAACGCGGGTTTTGTTTTCAATTATTATCGCTACGTTGTAAATTGTAATTTAGAGATAACAAACATGTATGCACTATCGTTTATCTCAAATTTGTAACACCCTATTGAATTTTTTTCTTTTCGTTGCACGTCGTTTGTGCGAATGCCAATTCGTTCGTCCGGAAAACGGGTAATTCGGTGGAAACGTCACATGTAATATGTGATGTATACTTTCGGAAGATTAGAACCTATATGTCCCGAGCCCCGGCACGGTGACACTTTCTCTAGGAAATACTACAAACATACAAAGCGCGTGCGACCAGCCAATTGCTGGTGACCACAATAATAAACCGACGTGGTCATTACGCGTTGTCGTTATGATATTTTACCTAACCGCCGTTACGTTGGCTGTCCGGCGACAATCGACCGTCCCGTGTGATATCATTATTAAATAAAAAATAAAATAAAAAAATACCAGCTCGTGTTACTTAATAATAACATGTTAGCCCCGGCGGCGGAGAAGGACTCGGCCGGTGTTTAAGGAATAATACCGAAATTGCACAATGGACGCGAGAAAAACCAATTTAATAATAACAACAACAAAGCACGCGACAAGTGTCAGTTGAATGTGAAAGCGGCAACGGCGGCGATACGGGAGGATCGCAATCAGAAAACGGTTCACCCGTCAAACCGACAAATAATGACACCACAACATCCGCCGCCGTGGAAAACAAACTGGTGTTACACATAAGAGTTAAGTAAATTTTACATTGCCACCATATTATCGTTGAGCAGCTTTCTCTCGATTTTTCGGAAACTGCACTCAATAATCACAATAACGATACATTAATATATTGTCATCATTATCGGCGGCGTGGCTTCTATTCGCCACGGAATTTAATCCCGCATGACATCATCATCGTCGTTCAAATTTAGTGAATATTCCTATGTTATAACAACAATATTAATTTGTTCGTTGCGAAACCGTTTTCGAAAAAAAAAAAAAACGCTACCGTACAACCACAACAGCTCGTAACTACACTACGACGAGTAGGAGGGTTGCATATCAATACTTAATAAAAAACTACATAACGTCGTCGGCAAGTTTGGTCAGACTGGTCGATTACTTCATCAAAGACTCGGGAAAGGAATCTCCGCCTTGAGTTCTGTGTAGTTAGGTTTAATTCTGGCATTCATTTCCAGAAACTTTATTCATTAAAAGGTTTCCGACCATTAACGTAGACCTGGTGTTTACGCTTAGTAGTTGCCAAGACACAATAACGATAGGGAAGCTCAATTTAAGTACCAGGTTATGAAATTAACACGAACCTAAAATAGAGTCAATGTTTGACACGGTCAATCGTGAGACAAAGAATTGAATGACCTTACAGTTTTAGAAGAGTAATTTTGTGGTTTTTGTCAACTTAGAGATTATCGATCCACGTAAAGGTACGAAGGTGTATAATATGTCATTGAATAACTCCCGCGGTATGCCGATCAGTAAATGGAATTCTTAACAAGGAATGAAAACCCTCCAAAACTTGTTGGTAAAACGAACATTGTTTCGGATTAATCTGGAATGTAATGCGCGTAAGTGTTGTTGACGGTTTTGAGTTTGAGGTTCATTTGACGATCGATAAGTACCCCCTACAACAGTTGTGGCTGTGGTCTGGCAAACGCTCTAATCTCGTGAGTAGGATCTTAAATTATTTATCGGAGAATGCGGTATTTGAACGTAGTTAGAGAGGATTTGAATAATGCACACTAATCGTTTGGCCAAGTTCTCGTTAGGCACAATGGATTGTTCGGATTTTAACTGTGACGTATTTCGTGTACAACAAAACGCACCGTCGTAGGTATATATTATTATTCGTCCCGCGGCATTTAACGCGGTAATACAAGTTAACATTGAAAATAAAACCAATTCGTAATCTCTCCGATCCAGTTTTGGAGTGGAAAACAACAAGCAAAAATAAGACGCAACGAGTTAAATAAAAAAGCATAGAAAAAAAATATAGGAGTCGGCTCGTAAACGACATTCCTGATTTATATGTACGTAGTAAAATAAAAAAAAACAATTTCAACCCGCACGAGGAAACGACTCAATATTCTAATTAGATGTTTGTGCAACCGATCGTTAAATATATTATCTTGCCCGGAGCTCAAGTGTCTCCCACGTTAGTATTTCCAATTTTTCCGTAACCAATTCTGGTCCGTACGGCAACAACTCCCTTTGGGAGTCCATAAAAGATGTCAATGCGTTACAGCGTGTCCCAATTGCCAACACTCGTCGCCGTAGACGTGCCGGGGTCCGTTCGGGGAGATGAACAGACGAGGCTCTAAACGTTTGCCAAATGGGAATTGAACATTACCCGCGTGTCGGACCGTGGTAATAATGTCCGGAATCGTTGGCAAAAACCATTTGCAGCCGAAAGCACGGCGTGTTATCGAACGCGTGACAAGACTGCGGAAAATACGGCTGATGATCACGGCAAAAACAGCAAACGGCCAACAATTGAATACACAAACGATTGCCGCTATCTCCCCTATAACGACGAACAGTTTAGGAAACATGTGGGCTTTCCCCTACTAGTCGGCATACAAGGTCGGCATCGCGCATTGCATTATCATAATGTAACATTATTATTATTATTAGCCTATTTGCACTGCCGACGTGTTGTCGTGTTGTTGTAATTATGTACACTCGATGCCGCGCAAAATTCGACCGTGAAACCCACCGCCGTCGCTTCAAACTGCACCGCCCAAGACCTTCGAATCTTAATGGCATCCCGCGATCAGATAATAATTATTCTACGTACCCCGCAATACTTTAGCAGCTAAAGTTTAGCCGGTTGTATCGTTCTTAGTATAAAGTGCGCATTTCAAGTAAAAGTCGTTATTCAAAGTTTTAATCGTCAAATGTAATTAATGAACTAACTGTCTAATTGGTTGAATGTACTTTTGTTTACTTTGAGCACGAGGGCTGGAGTATACAGTTTGGTGTTTACCGTGGAACATTAATTTGTAATTGCTTGTCTAATCATTTTGAGTAGCCATGTAATCAATACCATATTAAATTGGATTCGCCGTGTCTGTTTACACACAACCGTGTAAACGACACTCTTGTTGTTAATTAGGGATGTATCAACTTGGAAAATAATGGAGTTTCTAATTTGGATAGTGAAATTGAAAAGTAATTACATATAATTTATCGCTGTAGTGAGTTGTCGAATCGCCAAAAACAGCCGAACACTAATAAGTACTATAATATTTGTAAGTAATCATTCCGGTACACAATTATTCCGGTCCAATATGAACAACAATGTATGTTGTATTCTATTTTGATATTACGTTCTGCGGTTAGGCTACTCTGGCTTCAGTTTAGTATGGGTTGTATAGTCGGCACTTGCTATAGTATAATTGATAATCATTAATTTTACATATTACTATCAATATTTGCGGGTTACAAGATTTTTAAACAGTTTTCTCTGTAATAGCTACACTTTTTTCGTTGCTCTACGGTGCCTTATATACACGGTAAATAATTGTGCATTATAAACGCCTATAAATGATTATTATGAAACTCAGTTTGTCCGTCGCGCTGTAGATTTTTATGTTAAATAATACAAGCGCCGAACTGCGATCCGATTGAAGTGGCGCTAAATCGCATTCAAAAGGCGTTTCGCAACTTCACGCACACGTGCCTAAAACACAATTCTAATATTATGGTGTTGTTTTCATATCATTACCGGGCGGGGGCGGTTATTGTTAATTAATGGCACAATGGTTTCGCTAGTGATTGAATCGCCGCTTTGCCAAGGTCGATTGGGTTCTGAAAAAAAATAGATAAAACATAGAAATAAATGTGACGCGGCAAAAGTTTTGTTGGGAAAACAGAATGGAAGGATAACGCATTATTGCACGTTTTACAGCTAATCGCAGGCAATGAAAATAAATGTATATTATTGTTGTTATGTCTTCTACAGAGATCGACAATATAATTTTGTCATACGATTTACTGGTCGTAAATTTAACGGTTAAATTTACAACTTAAAGGAAAATTCAACAAGATAAAAACGGAGTATAATTTCGAAATGTTTATCTAGGAATTGTGTTAGATTCGATCAGCGCGTCGTAGTTAAATAGTATATAAAGATAAGTTTTTTAAGACGAAAGTGGCATTATATTGGCGTACCACATTGCAGTTGAAGAGTTGTGACGTTTACATTTTGTTGTGTTTTTCAGACGTTGTTCGATTGGTTTTTACAATGCGTTTGTCGTGTTGGAGCGTCGTAGGACTGGCGTTGCTGGTCTCCGGCACGCCGTCAGTCTCATCCGACGGCTATCAGAGATGCTTGCCCAAAGGCCCAGGTCTCACCATCGAAGAGTTCTTGTCCGGCAAGTTTTACTTGTTCGAGCGACAACAGGCGTTCAGCATTAAACTGTTGCAAACCGCCGTGGCTGCCTCTCCCAAACAGAATTTAATATTCTCGCCGCACAGCATATACACCGCCCTTTTGATCACATACTTCATCAGCGCCAACCGAACCGAGTCCGAGCTGAAAAGGTTTCTCAATCTTCCACCCGAACAGGTGCGTTTTATCGTTACAGCCGTTGCAAATCGTTCAGGACTTATAAACGCTTTGTTTCGTTGATCGATGGGCCGTTGACACTTAGTAAAATTCTTAATGTACGAAACACGAATGTACATTAACATTGGGATTTTGTGTCATTTTCGATTGAGACGTGAAACTATTCAAGGGTTTGCTTCCGGAATTGTCACTGTTAACGTCACTAATTCGGTTGCACTATTTTCGCAGGACAAGCTGAGCGTGCTACAAGCGTACCGTATGGAGAGATTGTTCCAATCGATGAGGTCTGCCAACACGAGCTCCGATTACGAGTTCAGCTCCACGGATCGGTTGTTCGTGTCGAAGAGATTACCGCTGCAGAAATGTCTGAACGAAGTATTCGCTCAAGAAGTACACCCGATGGACTTTGTCGTTGATCCCGAACTGGCCCGTATGTACATCAACAATTGGGTGGCCAACTCGACCAACGGACACATCACAGATCTGATACCCGTGAGCCATGTTAACTACAACACGAGACTAGTGCTGGTAAGTTGCTCTCACCGAATCATAAAAAAAAAAAAAAAAAAAAAAACAATAGGAACTCATAACGAAGGGTTTATTGGTTGTTTTCGCAGGCCAACGCAGCATATTTCAAAGGTTTCTGGAGTTCTCAGTTTTCGTCGGAAAGCACGAAAGACGAAGTTTTCTACACGTCGCCAAACGAGAACGCTCTAGTGCCTATGATGTGGCAGTCTGGAATTTTCAATTTGTGTAAGTAGTCATTAATCTTGTTCATCGCAAATTACAAGAAGTTGAGTGGTGCAAGACAAATTGGGTTAAAACTAGTGTGACCAAAAGCCCAGTCGAGAAAGAGGTTTCGATCCAAAAGTTGTGTAGCATCATGCGTGCTAGGCGCATGATGCTACACATCAAATATGCAAATCTCCATTACTATAATTAATATCTCAAGAGTACTGTGTTAGAGTTAGGCATTTTTTTTTTGCGAAATATTAATTTAAAGTTAAAACAATTATTATATATATATTATTTACTATTTTAGCCATGACGGTTCTTTATTCGTAATTTATTATATTTTACCAGACCATCGCAGAGCCTTTGACAACTATTTGAACTATTCGTCTAGTACAGAATGCGTCTTACTCGGTAAAAAATACCAGTTATCAAATCGAAAGATGATGACAGTTTGCAAAAAAAATGACATATTTGTTTTTTCAATATAGGTACTCGTTGGGTAATTTTTTTGCCTATTCGAATAAAACCAAAGTACCACAAAATAATGTTCTAACTGTTATTAGAGTAATATTATTTCACAAAATAAAGCTGAGAGCCATATGCGATTTTTACGTGTTTATTGTTATTTATTTTTGGCGTTAATGTTGGATTACATTTTTTCAGTGAGTTCCGACGAATTGGGAGCGCACGTGTTGGAACTTCCGTACAAGGGCGGCGACATCAGCTTGTTCGTCATCTTGCCGCCGTTCAACAAGCAACGTGGAATAAGTCTGCTGACCAAGAGGCTCAACACCAACATTCTGCAGGAAATAGTCTCGTCCAACGAATGGCGAACTCGGTCCGTCGAAGTGTCGTTGCCCAAGTTCAGCATTGAGCAGACTATGGACAACCTAGTGCCCGTAAGTACAATGCGGTTTCAAACCTTTATGCTGTTGTCTCTAATCGCGAGCTACCTATATATTTGTATAAAAAACAGTTGTTGGAACAAATGGGCATCGGCGACCTTTTCAAAGGCAACGCTGACCTGTCGACGTTGACGGGTGGCGCCAACGGGGTGTCCGTAGACGAAGCGGTGCACAAGGCCAAGATATCCGTGGACGAAGAAGGCACCATCGCGGCCGCTGCCACCGCTGTCATATCGTCCAGGTCGTCCAGGCCAGTGGAACCGTACAAGTTCCGGTGTAACCATCCGTTCGTGTACTTCTTGTTCGACAAAATGACCGGTTCAGTCCTTTTCATGGGAGTCTACAATTCACCGAAGTCCACTTAGAACACACACGGCCAGTCACGGTGATTTTTTTTTTCTTATGTAAATACCGACAATTAACCGTAAAATCGTTGTAGTAACGCGCTTGATTAACTCGGACAGTCCACCTTGTTGTAAACGGGTCGCCGGAAATCGCTGTCTAAAAAATAGCAACGATTCGCCTATGACTCGGTTGTATATATAAATAATTATTACTATTATTATTATTATTATTATTATTATTTTATATATTTTAGTATTATTATATTATTGTTGTGTTATGTATAATTGTCACGTAGGTGACAATAGGTAATTATGCGTGTAAAATAAACCACTTGATGAATCCTATGCTTACTAATAATTATGTGTTTTCAAATAAGAAAATTAATTTAATCAGTTCCAAGTGCGTTAAATAAATCTTGCTAAAGACATTTTATAATTTAATATAATAGACGATCGTGAAACAAATATTGGAATAATGAATAAAGAATAACTTGTTCGTTCTTCAATGATTGTGAATAAAAAAAAACTATTATATAGAATACATTTTATTCTTATAAAAAATAGGATATTGAGAATATCATTTTTATTCATGACCAATTTGTATTATTAGTCATACGTTTATTTTTTATATTTATAAAAAAAACCGTAACAATTGTTTAATTAACTTTTTTCTTTATGAAAAATTTTTTTTTTTTTGTTGCTGAATACCTGAATAATAACAAGAATGATCATATAATCAGATAAAAGTATTTTCTAACTTCCGCTTCGAAGCTAAAATAAACAATAACTAGAATATTAATTCTAATATCAATTTGTTCAAAAAACATCTTAGGCCAAGTTCAATTTTCAGCCTTAAGAGAATGAACAGAAAGAGTAAAATGTTAAAACTCTTTTCGGTTGTTCTACCAAACAGATTTATATGTATTCATCTAAAGCACGTTAAACTTCAAGCTTTTCGATAGCGTATAAAATGCCGATTTTTTTGTTTTCAAAATTGAGTTTTAAACGGTTATAATTAAATGTTTTAATGAACATTCGCCGGAAAACAGTCGTTTACTTTCAATTAAGTTGGTATACTTCAAATGAAAAATTAGATCATTAAATATATTCTAAAATTACAAAATTATCTCTTTAAACTTATTGCAACCTATTTTCCCAATTGAATACACAGCCGTCATCACTGTAGACCAAATATGGCTGACAGTCGCTAGCTGTAATGCTGTATTTTCCAAAACACACGGACCACAGAATGATATTTTACGGGCAATAGTTTTTTTGAAAAGAATCCTGTTGTTCAAAATTCCAACTGAATACGAGCATAATAGATATTTTATTTAATTACTATTGTTGTCAGGTCGGCTATAAATATTCACTAACGATAGAGCCGATTCGAGTTAAACATTAAAAAAAAAAAAAAGGGTTTAATTAATAATTGTTCCCAATCGATATCATTGTTACAAATCGGTAAAACGTGATTAACCCAACCTGAAAGGATTCACAATAATATTACGAACAGTTATATTATACATAATACACGTTATGTAAAAAGCTAAAAGCTCACTCGTACATCGGATTCATTCGACCGCAATTCAATGGCCGGCACAACAGCTGCTAGTCGCCATGTCAAAATAAAAAAAGAGCTGTCAAGCAAAGTGTCACATTGTTTTTATCAAGCAAGTCAAACAAATAATCAACGTAGTATTTCATTAGTTAAAATGTAATCTCGTCGACGTGAAATGTTACATAAATATGCTTAATCCTAAGATACCAACGAATTCTACGAGTATAGATAAAATATAGCAATTAGTACATTTTTATGTTGGAAATCGTTTATGAGGTTAATTCAACTTTTTTCGGAAAGGTTCAATTAATCGTTAAGTACCAAAAAAGTACCTTACACTCTCTTGTCATTTTCGCCGACGTTAGCTATCGGTGGTGTACACAGTGTTACATGTAGTCAGCAATCAGTATACTGTATTCAATAGGGTCTTGCGATATCCATACACTATCAGTTAACAAGCTTTACGCCTGTAAATTATTGTTAGCCGCCTTTCAACACAACGCGTGCCGGTAAACGTGTTAGGCTTCGGATAAATTTTCTTGTAGTCATAAATCACAGTTAAACTTTTGCAAAATACGGTTCCGTTCGCGTTGATAATAGCTAATACTACCTGTGTGGGGTAGTCGTAGTTCCGGTAGAGTAGTCGTTTTATTATATTATTTGGTCGGTAATATACGTATACAAATTATCATAATAATATATGTATTATCAGCTTTGCCGTAGTTTCGGTATTTTGTGTTGGTTATGGACGAGGTTTTGTGCAGTTTAGTCGCAATAACCATACAGTTTGATAGCTACTATTAAAACATTAGACACATCACACATACACTTGCTAAATTAAGAAATAGTGAGTCCAACTGAGATGATATAAGAAAAAAAAACGTCGTTGTTAAAAAAATGCCTTCTCAGCAGAAAATATTCAAGAGGCGCGGTTGGGTTTGTCAAAATAATAATGCCGACAAAAATCCATTATTATACGTATTGAAAAAATGAAAAATTTAGTTGATTGGTCAAAAGTGTATTATTAGAAATCATGGAAACCCAACAGAGATGGGAGGCACGATAGCTGCTCTGATTTATAACAGTTCAGTCTTATCTATTATTTGTGTGCGGCTCGTAATAGCTGTTGGCGTCGCGTGTCTTGAGCCTATCCTTAATATCCACTTCGTTTTAGTTAGTTCCGTCCACAGACAACATTATAAAATAGAAAAGGATTTTATTGTAAAATACATTTTATTGAACAATCAATTTGTCTGTTGTTATAATAATTATTATACTAGTCTGTTAGTTAGTTTTTAATACAATACCGGTTCGTTTTATAATATAACTTTTGTGAATTATAAAAACATTATTTAGAACAAAATATATTTATAACTCTTTAAGTTTCAAAACTGTTCAAAATGTCCGAGTACGACATACCAATGAAGACAATGGCGCTAATGTCAGAATGTTATAAATGTTTTTATTGTTTCTTCCAGTAAGTTATCATTTATGCTCTCTCTAGAAAATAGTTATTACCGAAATTTATAATCAAAAGAAGTATGTTTTATGGACATGATTTTCTTAACATTTACTACTTTTAAGTTTTTAAAATTAATTTTTCTTTTTATAAAATTTCAAACCCACAAGCAATTTTTACTAGATTACACTGTATTATATTAAACAAATTTATACATATACATATATATATATATATATATTCGTTAAAGTAATTAAGCAAAATAGTTCGTCATAGTAGTATAGACAAAAAAGATATTTTAAAAATTAGTTACATATAGTGTTTTTAATAATATTACGTGTTGACCGCAATCAATGTAAAGTGTCGGCCTACCCAAGGGCGTAATTTTGCTTAAAAAAGTGGGAGTTCTTAAACACTGGAACTATTTGAAAATTGCTTTATTTCACTATTTATGGTATGAAACAAAAACAATATTTTAGGGGGCTGATTTCAACACTAGGAGTGCTAAGCACAGCCAAGCTCCCTCCTAATAGCATATATTAAATATCATTATGTTGGTTTGGAAAACTAAAATAAATCCCCCAAATAAACAAATATATGGTTTATTACCAACTAATTTGCTATAAAATTGTTGTCTACAATTTATTTATGAGTTCGAAACGCTTAATTGTTTATAAATTATTTATTAGATATTAATATTCACCAATGAGAGTAGAATAAATATTCCTAAAATGCATTAGGTAGATTGCATTTTTTCTTATAAAAATCCATTTGACTTCAATAATAATATTTTAATTTGATTAGTATAATCAATTACATTTATACTATCATGTCTTCAGAATTTAGAATTTGGTAAGCCCAAGAATTATAGCCTAACCTAACATAACCAATGTAATATAGTGCATTATTAAAAAACAAAACTTAAATATTTACAGAATGGAAACTCTAAGTGATGTTACCCTTACATGCGACGATGGTGTGCAGATTTATGCTCATAAAATTATTTTAGCTACTGCAAGCTCAGTTTTTTTATCAAAATTCAACGATAACGTTGAAAACGGCCAAAAAAATAACATTTTTATAAATGCAATGGAGTCGAATATTTTAAAATCAATCGTAACTTGTGCATACACATTTAAGTTAGACATCGAGAAAGATAATATAGAAGTATTTATATAATAATACATAATTACCATTTATAAATATATGAATGGTGATTTTTTTTTATCATGGGCCACTCAATATCTCATAGGGTTTAATAAGAAATACAATTTTTTTTTTCATATTGTTTTTATACAATGTGATCTCAATTTTTCAAATTTTTTTTTTGTTTTTACCTCTCTCCTAAGTCCTAACTTAGTTTTTTTGATAGCAACTTTTGAAACTTAAATGGTAACGCATATATTTCATTAACTTTTTAAATTTAGTATAATGTACTAAACATTTTGACTGGTTGACAAAACAAATAAAGTTGTGAAAAATTGAGATCACATTGTATAAAAACAATATAAAAAAAAAAATTTTAATTTATTATTAAACCCTATGAGATATCGAGAGGCCTATGATAAAAAAATCACCCAGTATATATTTATATATACACTTTACATTTACGGTATTATCATTTTTAATTATTTGTTTCTAGAAATTATTAAAAGCTGCTGAATACTTGGATTTTAATCACGCAAAAGATTTATGCTACAGTTATATTAAAAAATGTTTAAACGTTGAAAATTGCATTCATTTCATGGAATGTGCAAAGCCACTCTCGCAAAAAGGGCTGTACACTTATTGTTTTTTGTATTTCCTAAATAATTTTGAGTAAGTATTCGAGTTAAATATATCCGGGGATAGTTTAAAAATCAATCGATAAATTGTAAAATGTTTTATATATTTTGTAGAAAAATTGTAGAAAACGAATCACTATTAAAATGTCTGTATCCAATGGATTTCGATGATGTTCTTGAGATTATATCAAATGATAATTTAGTTGTTAAATCTGAAGAAAAGGTATTTTAACGCAGCTGAACAATATTATTATTAAATATTGTACTTAAATTATTTTGATATTCCTCTTCACTTCCACCCAAATGAACTTAATGCCACACCAATTGTCTGAAAACTTTTAATTTTGACGATCCTTTAAAATTTAGTGGACCAATCACAGATCACATATTGATTTTTATCAGTATCTACTAAGTTACTTCATTAAACTTTTTTGAAGGTTTATGCTACCCTGAACAAGTATTATAAACTATATTAGTATTATAATATACTATAGAATCTTTGTTTTCAATATATTAATGAAATGCAATATGTTTTCTATTATATGTAATATACATTATACATTGTACACAAATATTGTTGAACACATTTTTTATAGATCTTTGATTTTATCGTTGGATGGATAAATTATGATCTTAACAATCGAAATCAATATTTCCCAGTTTTAATAAAATACTTGAGATTACCATTGATTTCGGCAAGCGGACATAAACGTATTTGCAATGAATCTTTACTAGAGACTCATAAAGACTGTAAGTACTCTATCTCTAATATGACTAATATGCATTTTATTTTAGCTCCGATGTAGAAGGTATTAGTTTTACCAATTAAGTGTTTTTTTACATTTTTGTGTCTGGATAAACTCTTGATGACTTTTGTACTACTCGGTTGATTTCTTTATTTAGCAAGTTTACGAGGCCAAAAAAAGGAATAAGGTTACCCTTTCCACTTTCGAGTTTAAAATACCTAACAAACCCGGAAACGACGGAATAAGTGGGCCGAGGTTACCAATAAAGACATGAATATTTGTAGAATGATAAAAGTAACGCTGTCTGATATTTGTGTTTTAATTTTGGTTGTCATCATGCTTTTAGGTTTGATGGATATTATGAGAAAAATTATTTGCGAAAATGACGATGCAAAAATCCAAAAAAATACAGTTAGGATACCCAATTCGTACCAACCAAATGTATACAAATATTATTTCATAACATTGGTCATATTTATTTAATTTGTAGCTAATATTGCAAATTTAAATATTTTTATTCAGATTATTTTCGCAATAAAGGATCGATCAACTGACGATGGTTCATGTGTTATGTACATGGATCTTAGGTGCGAGGAAGACTTATGTTGGAAATCATGCGATAATTCATTTCTTTGTCCTCGTCGTGACGCAACTCTGGTCGTCTCGGAAAGTGGAATATTGCTTGCGATTGGTAACGATAGTGAAGTATCTAAAAACTGGGTAGACGAATTAGATCTCACTTCTACATCGAAAAAGTGGGTGTCTACTAGCCCTATGTTAACATTTCGAACCCAATTCGCTGTTTGCACCCAAGGAAACTATATATATGTCGTAAGTATTTATTCGGGATGTATGGCGATGAAGTATCTAAGAAAGTTATTTTGCGATAAGTGAATATGCGTTAATTAATAATTTATCTATGGCACATAGGTGGGTGGTGAAGATATCAAAGGAAAGCCGTTAAGTTCAATCGAATATTATGATACGTGTTCGAAAATATGGCACGAAATCAAAGAACCGATGCCAATCCCTCGGACCCAATGCGGTGCAATAATTAACGATTGCTGTTTGTACGTTGTAAGTAATAAGTTACAAGTAATTTACAGTTGTAACTCAACTCAAACGTCTACATAAATTAATTATTTAAAATTAAGTTATTACATTATAAATATTTGTTGAGTTTTACGGTATTTTGTTAAAGATATTAATTATTACACTGTAATTAGTTATAAGGTTATGTGAAGATTTTAGAAGTTATTGCAAAAAAGGCAAGTACAGTGGAGTCGGGGCATAGTAGGGACGGGGAGGTCACAGGTCTACAGGAATTATTATAACTGAAAGTGATGAAATCACTTTTAATGAACGCATCGATGCGAATATGTAGATAGTAGGTTTCAAACCGGTACAGTCCAAACCAATCACAGTATAAAAGTAGTAGTAATAGTAAGTGAATAAGTAAGGGGGGGTTCCAGTGTTAACAGATCAAATTTTTAGTTTTTTCAGTTTAAACAATTTTTAAGGGGTAGGGTTGACTTTTTTTTAGTTTATTACTCAATATAGTACCTATTGTGTACGATTTCTGGTCTATATATATACTACACGAAGAAATCGGTTCAACGGCTTAAAAAATATCGTGGGTCCTGACACAAAAATTAAAAACATCATTAATTGTACAGTAGTTATACTGTACAATAAATTTTAGTTTTTTAGTGTGTTCTGTATTTTATTAAATAGAATTAATTTTAACTTATATTTTTATTATTTAATTTGAAACAGGTCTCAATTCATGTTTTTAACAAAATAAAATATTTTGTTTTTGGTAAGTTGTTTACAATTGAGAAGTAAATAAAAAAGTTTTTGGACGTTCTAGAGAAAACCTTGGGCTAGAATTAGCAAAAAAATCTTTTTGGTTCTTGTTCCACAAATAAGTCAAATTTTAATATGAAGTTAAATCAGCCTATTAGGTCCCATAGTTGCATAATTTTTTTTTAAACAAAATATGAATCCTATAATTTATAAACTTAATTTGGAAGAAATATGACCGGTATATTTTTATCTTTTAAATTATACATTTTTAAAAGCCTGAAATCACCTATTTTTTAACATTTGTTTTTTCTAAATTATAAATAAAAAGAACAGAAATAAAAACAGACATAACTCAAAAATTAAATGAAGAAAATGTGTAATATCTATTTTATAAGTCATGTATTAATTTTTTAACTTGAAATTAGTAAAAAAATTAATCGGTTTCTTTTTTTTAAAAGTTTTTTGGTCATGTGGAAGATCTTGATAGAAGAGTAGACTGCTACAATATAAATAAAAAATATTGGACACAGCTTGATCCCATGCCACATTCTATACAATACCCATTATGTGTTACAAACAGAAGAAACAAAATTGTTTCATACCATTTAGTTGATGAAACTAACGGTATATACAAAGGCTTTTTTTACAGCAATTTACACGATTTAATATTGCATAAGCAAGAGGAGGAGGAGGAACCAAGTAAGTAAATACTATCTAATAGAAAATACATATTTATAACTCGCTTTCATTTTAATGTTATCGATTTAGATTGGTGTAGTTTGTGTGTTGTAAAGGAAAATGACGTCTTGTTATTATCTGATTCTTATAAAAGATATATTTCAAAAAAAAATAAATGGAAAAAGGTTAACTTGTCAAATAAATTATCAACCATGAACGGCTATATAATTTGTCTTAATGATGTATTCTTAAAAACATATGATATTCACCTATAAAACATAGTATATTTAACCGAAATTATTTTTATATTAAGTGGCGCCATTTGTATATTACGTGTAATATTTTATTAAATTCTAAGTGGGTCAGAGAAAATTTTCCAAATTGAAATCATAAAATAGTGTTAAATGTAATATTATGTCTAATTCATTTTTTAATAGAAATATTACTGTAAAAACATTGCAAATTTATTTTTAATATACTTATATTTTTAATATATTTATAAACCAGTTGCCATCACAATATTAAAATAATTGTTTTGCTTGTATAAAACATTTTTATTTAAAAAAAAAAAAATATATATTTTTATTGAATTTGATTTATTTCATATTTTCCTTTTATACCTATCCGGTATTCTTGTGCATTAAAATTATTTTTTCATTTTTGGTTTAAATTAGGTTTTTCTGAACCTTTTGAATGTCGATACGTTTGTATGCGATAATTCACGTACGTGAAGTTACCTCCCCCACTTTGTCGAGATCCGGGGAGATCCGGTGCGGAAATCCGGAGTTGATAGGACAAAGTGAGGGGGGGGAGGGCAACTTCACGTACATCGATATTTCAAAAGACATTTTTTAAACTAAAAGAATTTCAAAGTAGAAGAAATAATACTGTGTGTGACAAGAGCAGAATAAAGAAGAAAATTTGTCAAAACAGATTAATTTAACGCGTAGGTAGTGTTTCGTATAAACCTTTAGAAGTTATGTGCCGTCGTTGGCTTTTGTGTCACGTCCCGTACGTTCCCTAACAATATAAAATATATATGTGATTCTGAGAACATATTTCAAATAGTACATGTCACCAAACAGCACTTTGAGAGTATTATTAAATATTTATAAGTATTCAGAATATAAATACATAAAGCATTAGGATCAAGAGGGGCAATATTATGAGAGCAATTCGTTTTCCCCATTTCAGACTAGTTGTGTTCTGAAGTCTAGAAATTTAAGAAATATATGAATCGGGCCTTTTTTTTGAAACGATAAAATAAAAAAACTAAAACAATTTTATTGAAGATTTTTGCGAAGAGCTGTTTATTATTTAAAATTAAAACTTTACAGTAAACTACCACGGGCGAGGCTTTAAACCGTTCTAAAGATGCTACGTGGATGTTATTAAATTCTTTAAACAAACTAAAGCAGTTGAAAGAACACTTTATGGTTTAACATTTTTCGAGGATTATTTAATAAGATGTTGTGTTATTTTTCAAACAAGTTATTGAGCTTAAATGTAATATATAAAAATATGTTATGCCGTGGTTAAAAGTGTCTAGAATTTTTTTTTAATTTCACTGCACATGCTAAATGCTCACATCGCCATTGAATAGACCATGGTTAATATGTATAAAGGGTCTGTCGGCATGTGTTTCAATATTTAAACTAGACCCTTCGAGCTGAAGTCCTCGTGGCTATTTATTTTGTTTATTTTTTGCGTCGAAACGTTTTTGCCGTTACATAAACCTTTACGGCGCAATTACTTGCACTTTACAGTGTACAATTGAATTTTATCGTTGCAATTTCATGTCTTATAAATAAACGCAACCCGCGGATCACGTATACGGTTTTGTAGTTTTATTGAAGACATAAAAATAAATAGGAATTTTCATTATACAATCGGTTGTCCTCGTGTCGCAGACCCTTCATAATGTGTATGCGAACATTGAATTAAGATGTTGTACGTGATGGTACGATAAATTATATTAAATATTTGGAAAACGCATAATTTATATGTCGACTGCACAAGAAGAAAATAAAACTTCATTGCCGTGTGTCAAGACAAGAACGATATTAAGTCTATAAGCCGTCATCAAGTTTACCGGCAAAGCTTTATTTATGCTGATAATGTAATATAATGCACGACCCTTTGCTTAGTCAAGGGAAACCTAACCTGACCTAACCGGCGTATATAAAGGCTCCCTCGCCGTCTTATCTGACTCGAAACAGTTGTTGTGTTTGAAAGCGCACCTCGAGTCCAAAGCCACTAAAGTCCACACCCTGTCATTGTGTAAATAATAATAATTGTAGCAACAAAACAATCTCTTTGTAACTGCTAAGTAAGGTTTACGTCTTGTTACACTAGGCTACACAAAATGGATGGGAAACGTTTACGAAAGCCGAAAACGGTAGATAAATGAAGTTTTAACTTAATGTGACTTCTTGGAGATAAGCTCGTGATGTATAATATGTACTCACATAACTTATTTCGTTGTTTTATGTGTAGTGAGTTTCAACCAAAGTTCCGTACACCAAGGTCCCTTTACAAAAACTAGTTATGTAACAAAATATAAAAGGAATAATACAACAATACATAAACATCCGTAAGTTATGGATGTGAGTTGAACTTACGCATACAGTATGACCCACATGTTATTCTTGTCAAGTCTAAAACTAACCGATTTAGAAAATATAAACTTATACTATTATACTGTTATCGAATTTGTTCATATCAGTTGGTAACTAATCGCAAGGAAAAGACAAGTTAGGTTGCCAAGTTCAACCATAATTGTTTTGTACATAGTTAATAGTTAATACCAATGAGAGATATCATAAATGTTGAAAATTATTATTTTGTATTATACCCGAACAAAATATTATGTATGTTATTATAATATTGTCAACAAAATGGGGAAAATCAGACGCATGAGGTACGGGTAAAGGTCAATAATTTCCAAGTCATTTTCGGAGGTCTTTTTAATTTATTTGCATCCGGTTGAAGACCTTAATGCGCCGAGACCTTAATAATGTTATCACTGAAACTAATGTACTTGATATTTTGATATTTCATTGAAACTACAACCTTTATTCAACAAACTATTTAATTACTGAGTCGTAAATTACATCTTTACACAATCCCCAATGTCCTTTTGTAAAGTGTTGATATAAGCTTTATTTTAACTATTTTACATACGTAAGGGTTTTATATTTTTTTTTAAAATACAAATGTATTTTATACGTTTTAAAAAATGCATGCACTATGTTTATATTTAACAAATAATAGCGCAAAGATTTAAAGTTATTTTTATTTAGTATACAACTATTTGTACATATTTCTATTTGATGTCTTGAGTGTACGTAAATATTAGTTTTATAAAATAAACTGCATGCATACTGTATACAAGCATAATCAAAATCATAGTATTATGATATCACCTCATTTTTTTTTATTTATCAGTTAAAGTAAAAGTAAAATATCTTGTTTGAACCACTTGAAGATTGATTATTTAAGACTTGGCTAGGAGAGAGGTTACGATAGTAATATTTACAAATAAAAAACGAGACTGATATAAGTATTAAAATAAGCCAATAAAATTGGTAATTGGTATGCTGGTAATAAAGTACTGTTTTGCGCCAAAAATTGTTTAGCGTGGTGTCCTCTTAAAAATAGTAGCAACTACATATCGACGCCCCGTACGAAAAGTAGCACCGTTCAAGTTCTACAGAAAACTAACACCGTTGACGATGACCTTACGAAAACTAGCACCGTTTGCAACAATGGGAACAATAGCCCAACGGTGCTAGTCTTCGTAAGTACTCGAACGGTGCTACTTTTCGTACGGGGCGTCGATATTATATCGGTTTTATGTAAACCAGAATCGAGGAGTCCCATGCCAAAACGAATGACATAGATGTTATGTGCATACAAGCAAATGACGCACCTTGACGTGGGTACATCATATATTATGTATAAATTAGCCACTCGAACGGTTGAAACGTCGCTGGTTTCCCCGTAAAAGGGAAAGATTCCTGGTGGCGGGCGGCGGTAGTAAGTCGGAGGTTATGAGAATTGCGACCCGTCCGAACGCCTCTTGGACGCGGTGTAAGCGAAAAAAAAAAAAAAATAGTGTAAACAAAAATTGAAGTAAAGATAACAGTGCGGTGTACAGGTATGCGCGGAAAGGACAACACGGCGAAGAGGCATAAGGAATAACCTCTTGGAATACACCGCTGGATGTGTGTTCGAGGTGGCCGTTTTCAGGGACGTGGGTATACGCGGTGCTGTCAAGGGACGGGAGCCAGCCAGAGTTACTTGCGCAGGGCTCAGCATCCTTTTGAGGGGGGCGCGCAGGACTCTGCACTGCTATCAGCCGTGCACAGCTCTACCGCACGGGGACCGCCGTGCTGCTGCCGAATCAGTTAGGCGGCCCAACGGCGTCGAGCGGGTCGTATTGTGTGCGTATGTACGCGATGCTTTTGCTGTCGTACTCTGTAGCCGAGCACAAGACGAAAAGCCCGCAAAAACACTTGTTGTCATCGCCACCGGCGCCGCCTCGTCCGACCGTTACGGCCAATAGCCGCCGGTTAAATGGGCAACGTGAGTACACGATTACACAGTAATTATCTTAATAATCATACGATAGTAGTTTTCGTTAACACAAAAAAACAAATGCATATCCATTATTCCAGGCCATACCATGAATATAGTGTCCGGCTACGACTCCCCCGGTCGGTAACACTCTAGATCGAGCACAATGTTGTAATGTAACAACTATTTAAAGCGACCGCGGTCTATGCTAATGAGTCCTAATGATTACGATTCATTCGTCCGATTAGGACCTAATCGAACGAATCCGCTATGAAAGTGTTCGATACCGTTAGAGGTTATAAGGAACCTGTTATGTCGTAATGAGTTTATTTTCAGCATGAAAGATAAGCCCTGAAAATCTGAAAGTATTTAGCAAAAAAATGAACTAAAAATAAAAAGCTTTAACCAGCCTATTGTATTTTCCAATCACCAAACGAATTATAGACATTTTGTCTCCTGAATGACAAATTCAGTGAGAGAAAAACACAAGCAAAGAGCGAAATAAAAAGTTAGGTTAGGTATTACTAAACTGAATAGGGTTATCGATTTTTTCTTCCATGAACTCTCTGATTTACCTCCTACCTTTCCATTTTAGTATGTTTTTTAGAAAAGAAATGTGTGGAAGCTACCAGGTTTTAGCTTCGATGCGATAGCTGTTTTAAGTTTGTAATATGTCTATGGAAGACGTCAAAACGAATATTGGGTAATTTTAACGGTTTAAATTATTTAAAGTCGTTTTTTCTTCCATGATTTGCCTCCAGTCTCCACCCACCCCTCTTCTCCTCACATATTCGTGTATGGTATCGATTGTTTACAGACGACGGGAATGGAAAATATCGATTTACAATTTTCCTCTAATATACAGATCTCGGATAATCTGGATAATAAAGTTAGATTTTATTCAAAAATCAAGATGTATATTTTTGAGTGATTTGAGTAATCCTTATTGTCCGTACGATTTTGGCACAAAATATCTGGATAGTAAAAATTCTAGTTTTATAGTTAACTTTTTTATTTGTATTTGCGCTATACATATTTTTTCCTTATAAAGCTTGAGTTATAAGAACATTTTTCTAAATTCAAAAGTATTTTTCTGAAAAAGACGAACCATATGCAAATTTATTGTTTTGGGACATGTGGTTTATCCAATCAGTTTACTTACATAAATATTGATAAAATTATTTAAAATTGATGTTATTTGTTTAATTTAAAAGCTATTTTTATACCTAAAATCCATTTCTATATAAACGTAATTGGTTTTTATGCAATACATTTATCTTATCTCGTGAGAACTAAAGACAACATAAATTAAACATTGGCGGGACGTACAGATACCATGATGAGTTAGTGCAAATAAGCGTGCAGAAGTGCTAATGCCTTGCCACGCCTTATATAGAAAAAGAACTCAAGGGATACAGCAACAACCGTTTGATTTATAATAAAACCCGTAAAGCTGACTTGCAGCCATTGGTCTATTACAACGTTAAGAAATCGAAGACGATTTTTGTACTGTGAATACGAGTTAAGACAGTAATTCAAAACGTCATGGTCTACTTACCACAGTGTACAGTTAATTATTATATGGTATAATCTATAATGTAAATCAAGCGATTGTGGTTTGCGTTTGTTTTCCAATGGAATTAAAATCCGGACATTACAATTGAAATTTATTTTATGGAAAAAAATAAAATTTTATTTTATCGTGGTTTTAACCGAACACGTACATACATACATACAACGTGATCTGTATTCGCTTAAGAACTGAAAATAAATATTAAGCTTACGGCGTTGCAGAAAAGACAGCGGACTCTCGGCATTAGCATGAATATTTGCATGACGCAGTACCGAAAAGCCGGTAGCTGGAAAATTATGCAAGCTAAGTAGGTATACGAGAGGACATATTTTCATTCTCTCGCTAGTGTATTAACGGCGAACCACTCTCGCCACCGTCAAAACATAATCCGATTACCCATTTGATGTATCCATGTGTGTATAATATATTACATGAAGTTCAGCGGAAAGTAGTTGGACGAATTTCGCCTTTGCGCAATAACGTTTTTTATTTTTGTTGACGATCGCGGTGGTTTTATGGCGGACTTCAACTCACCCCCCCCCCTTTCCCCTTTTAATAAATAACACAAACGAAATACGATACTTAATCGACAACTGAAGCCAAGCCGATTATCTGAGCGCTGGGTTTGTTTTTTAATGCGAATTGCGTTGTAATTATTATTCCTCTCTCGACCGTATAATCTGTATTATTATACAATACCAAACATTCCACGACTCCCAAAGAGTGGACCCGGCTGCATTTAGTTTTGCGGTAACCGCACACCGCATCCGCGATGGTTCTGTCGAGTAACGTTTATTTATGCTCTTTAAACCGGCGAGACAATTTGCGTGTCGTCTAATCTAACGAGCAAGACATTCGAGGCGGGGAAACCTAAGGGAATTCGGCACCCTCCTTGTCTTTACAAATACAATGCTCAATAAACTATAATGTAACCCGTGTCCTGTGTATACCCGTGCCCTGTACACCTGTGTACCACTATGGTTGTAGCGATTAAAGACTATTTGGGATGCGCTGTCCTTCGACATCGATTGGGCGGGAAACAAACAATATTTCTCATCCAAATATCAACAAAACATTTAGATACTGGCACGGCCCAGAGATGGGTTAAAAGTCTTAAGCCCCTCTTTTTGATAACCCTAATAACCATCATTTTTTGAACCTAGACAAAATAATATAGAAAGTACTTACGTTTCAAAATGCTGGTGGGTGCCCACACACTCTTAGAGTTTTCATAAGTACGACGACGTATCCTTGCGTGCCAACCGGCGATGGTACTACGCTTTACGTTTGTATTGTAAAGTTTGACCTCGAATAGCATTGTCATAAAATTAAAGTGAAACACGCGATATACACTAATATGGTTAACTGTAATGTTTAAGATATAGAACAATTTTTGTTCGTTCATATCGGTTACTTTTTAAAAACTACAATTTGGAATCATTGTCGTATTAAGGGAACGAGTTATTTTTTTAGGAGACCCGCGGCACTGTACTGTACTGTACTGTATTTAAAATAGGAACTTTTTCAAGACGGAATAAAACAATAATGACGGCACGTGGGCAGTGTTTTGTAACACGGGCCCTTACAAAGTGTAGAATATGACCCGGACGGAGAGCGATGCCCGGATAATAGTTCATTTTAATGGAAAATAATATAATACAAAGTGCAGTACACGTGTAGTATTTGATTATTATATAATCGACGCGTTTATAATTTTTTGCTACTGTTTGGTCCGCGTCGGTCATCACTAAGTGCCTTCCCCCGACGGCCTATTATATTATCCTAATTCGAGCAACGGTCTATTTTGTAAGGTCCAACGTCCTATAAATAATATCGCGTAAACGGTAAACGGACGGATGTCACCCCCTCCCCTATTTTAGGGATCACGTCCCTTAGGCAACGTCCCCGTCTCTCTGTGCACATCACTAATGTATGTAACCCATGAACCGTCTACTTTACGTTTCCATTAAGCGTGTGGAGTCCACGGGTCGTATAATTTAGATAACACGACTGCACAATAATTATTAAGTGTACTACCCGCGCATTTTGCTGTTGCTGTACTTAGCGAGCGTATTGCTTAAAAGCTCAAGATAAAATATAATTGGATATTCGTCGACACCGGCGGGGTCATTAATTTCGTGCAAGCAAGTTCTCAACACAATTAAAGTCGCATTTACCCGACAAAGCAACCAAGTCAGTGGCCCGAAAGATCCACAACCCTCCGGCTTGTGTTTTAGTCGCGCATTGATGAACAATTTTTGAACCCAATGCGCACTACGTTCCAAGAAGAATAGGTGATTATAAAAGTTTGTAAGCATCCGTCCACATCAAAGGAAATCTTTTAACTGAAACTCCCATCCGCCTAATGATAATGGAAACCAATTGTCGTTAATGGATCGGCGGTGGGCGGCTTTGAGTCCAAGTAGCTTTTGAATTTTGTTTATGGCTGTCAGACAAGACCGTAGGACACAGCACGGCCAACCCTTGTATGTTGTCTACAAGTTTTACTCGAGTTCTACATAATATCGTTGTGATAAAGTATTATTCTAAAAAGGAATCTAGTTATTGTTGTACTATAGTGGTTATTAAAAAAAAAAGCCCAGCAAATACTGTATATGTACGAACAATTGTACAATAATTAGTACTTGTAATTACTATTATTTAAGTAAAAGAATGTATATTAAGTGTATAGAGAGTAAATACTAAAAAACTAGACAATATCTCCACAGTTCATACATTTCAAACATTTTGTTTAAACATTTTTTATTAAAAAATTATAAAAAAATAAGTAAATATAGATGTCTACAAAAACTTTTTATTAGTTTTTTTTAATAAAAATTATTTATTTAAATGAGTCCATAATCGGATAACTATATTTGAAAGTATATTAATTTGTGACAATTTGAACGTCGAACAATTTTGTATTTCTTATTAAATTTAAAAGATATGCTTGAACTATATAAAATACGTACATAGATCAAACTGTATTCGTATAATGTCCAACGTGTTCTAGAGTTTGATAAACAAATTAATGTTGTTGGTTTTTTTCGCTATTAAAAAAACATATTATTTACCTTTGCCCTATATATATTATGTAAGTACTATACTGTTATCTAAACTGTTTATTTACCCTTGGCCTGACACGGATACTTATTCAAACGATATAATATATTACGACTTGCGTGGCATCCGGAGGGATCCATGGGACTTTTCAACTAAAAAGGCGCTGTTACGGCGTTTAAACATGACATAAGGGTTTATCGTGCACCCGACCAGGAAATAGCGTCGGAATGCAAGTGACACGACGTGCCATTTATTGTGTTGTATAATATCAGCCGAATAGGAATCCGTCGGTATCGTTTTGGTCAAACGACGCAAGTATACACTCGAATTTCACGCGGTGTTGTTTTTGAAAAGGGTGAAAAGCGGACGGACA